ATTCTTTTCCTTTTTTGTTCAATGCCTTGTATATATATATATATATATATGCTCACCTCTGTTCATGATTAAAAAATCAATTATAAAAATTATTATTAATGCATCTTTCTTATTTTTATGAAATTTTAAAACTTAAACTATTTGGGCCAAATTACCCTTTTAAATTCTTTCCTGTTTTTTTCTCTCCTGCGTGTATGGTATGTAACCTTCATTTTTTCTTTTGTTTTTTCAATTTTTTTTAATTTTATATATATATATATAAAAGCAGATTATTACCTTTTCTTTTTCTTTGTTTACATATGTGAATATATATACCATATTATCACTCAAGTGGAATTGAGATCAACGAGCAAAGAGGTATAATCATAAAGATTGACCGACTATATAATCATATTTTGAATGGATTACAAACCATCATTATCTCTCTCAGTGTTAAAACTCAAATTCCCCAATCTCAAAATATTATTTTAATTCAAATTTAAAATGATAAAAACCCAGTAAAGAATTAATAAAGGTGAACATATATATATATATATATAAGACATTGAATAAAAAGGTAAAGAATTAACAAGAAAGAAAGATGTAATAAGTTAAAAGGGTAATTTAGTCATAAAAAGTTAAATTGCAAAGTCACGCAAAAATAAAGAGGTATTAATTAAACCTTTTATAATTGATTTTTCAACTAATGAGAGTGCCTGCAGCTAGCACTCTTCTTAATTAATTTGTCATTGTCAAAACTCGGGGTAATTTTCTTTGGTTTTTTATATTCCTATTTGTAATTCAATTATATTTATTTGGTTTGTTTTCATTGAACTTTGTATGTTAATCAATAAAAAAAATTAAAAAAATTGTATTACCCGTGTGTGTTTGTGTGGGCATACATATGTCTTCTGTATCTATTTCTGTTGGTTTCTTTCGTGAAGGAAAAAAACTGTGGCCTGTTATGGATGAACTAAACCTCACACAAATTTTATAGGATTTGATATTCATATAACCAACAAATCTGAGCAGAGTGATTGATAAAAGTGGACATCTCAAAAGGGGTGGGATGAGGGTACTGGTTTATAGAATTATCAATGGGCCTGAACTGGGGCAGGCCTAGCCCAGTGCATCCAATCATTAAGACTCTTCGCCAACCTCAGGCCTAAAGGTCAAGCCCAATAAATACAGAATTAAAAGGAAGAAGGCTGGATTTCCGATTGGGACAGTCCGTACAAACGGACCGCCCCACAGAAAAGTAAAGCCCATCAACCTCCAACTTGGAAGCCGAGAAGGAAGTTTAGGGCAAAATATAAACTTCTATAAGTAAAACTGAGAGAGAAAAAAGGAGGTTGTTTTGGGGGGTAAGAAAAACTTTCCGAGAATAGAAGAAGGGCTTTCTTGCATTTTCAGTATGCTTATATATATTTGTTTTTTGAAGTTAATAAAATTAACAGAATTTACTGAACTTTTTTTGTTCTAGATATATATATATATATATATCACATTGGATACAAATACTGTTAATGCAACTTTCTGCAACCAAGGGTCATCATAAATAACAATGGTGAAGACTCAAAAAGGAGCAGACGTTCTTTTGGGAATAGAAATAGTCAGTGAATCAAGCACTATGATGATGCCCGAGAGAACAGATGGAACAGTACAAGAGTCAAGAAAGTTACAGAAGAAAGTGCGGTGGAGCGATCAGAATGGTGAAGAACTAGTTACAGTAATCTCAAGGTAAACTTGCTAGCTTGATTTCTGGTTGATTTTTTCCATACATCATAATTATTGTAGTAGGTTATGGATCAAATAAACTGATGCAATGAAAATTTAGCCTAAAATAGTACATAAAATCAACTTCAGATGTGCAATAATGTAGCCACTGCCAAGGCCCAATGGTAAGAAACATAGATTTGATTCCAAGGACAATCATACAAATAACATCAAATGTTAGGTTTGCATCCAGTCCGTTCCTCCCAAAACTCGAATTAACAAGACTAGCATGTGTAATGGCTAATGTAATTTTAACTTGTCAATGTTTACTCTTCTAGTTACAAACAACAGCAATATTACGTTATGGTTTTGCTGATAACAACATGATAAAATAATATCTTTCAAAAAAAAAATGATAAAATAATAATTTACACACAGAAACAGGCTGTTGTTCAAAGTGCAATGTAAATTTAGCCTAAAATAGGACAAAAAATTCAACTTCAGATGTGTAATAACGCAGCCACCGCCAAAGGTAAGAAACATGGATTCGAGTCCAAGGGCAGTCATACAAATAATGTCAAATGTTAAGTTTGTATCCAGTCCGTCCCTCCCAAATAATGTTATGTGACATATTTTGATGTGTTATACTGGGCTAGTACATTCAGCATTGTCCTGCTGATCATCAAAGTGCATAAAAATAAAAACTACACACATAGAAACAGGCTGTTGTTCAAAGTGCATTGTAAATTTTTCCTAAAACAGTACAAAAAATTCAGCCTCAGAGATGTGCAATAATGTAGCCACTGCCCACGGTAAGTAACATAGATGCAAGTTCAAGGGCAGTCATAAAATAACATCAAATGTTAGGTTTGCATCCGATCCTCCCAAAACTCGAATTAACAAGACTAGCATTTGTAATGGGCTAATGTAATTTTGACTTAGTTACAAACAACAGCAATATTACATTATGGTTTTGCTGATAACGACATGATAAGAACCATTGTCATGCGCTGGTTGTGTTGTGTCATTCAATCTAGCCTCATACAAACAATTAAACAAATAAGAGTAGTTTGTATTTGTATACCATAAAAAATAATAATAATAATAAAATAAATAAATAAAAATAAAAAATAAAAAACTCATCACATAGAAACAGGCCTTTTGTTCAAAGTGCGCACACTGCAATGCAATCTGTTGACCTACAATGGTATATGGTGTCAAAAGAAAAACATGAAAAAGGTAACTGAAACATATGTGTATGGAAAGATGAGAGATGCAAGAAACACAAACTCAAATGTGAAAAAAGAAATAAATAAATAAATACACCATATATTCCATATCCCATTTGACAGTTTTTGATGAACCTGTGTCTTCTATTTAGCAGGAAATAAAAGAGTTTTAAAGCTAATGCATTGTAATTGATCTAATTGATACTAGTTGTTATTGCGCCTATACCAACTTAACTAATTCTCACCCATTGTATTTTCTTTTCTGTAGGGATGCAAGTAATGATTGTTGTACGAGTTTCATATCCAAATTTATCAGAATATTCCAGGGAGCAAAAGTTGACAACTCAACCTCACAAGCAGACATTCATCACTAGTTCCTAAGTGCTCATTTTCTGTTGTATCGCTATCACAATTTGATAGAAAGTGGGTTTCAGATGAGTATTCTTCAATTCACAGAATCCTCAATGATGGAGTTAGATAAAGATAATGACAGTTTTTGCTTCACAGAGCTGTAACACATTAGACACAACAAGAAGAAGAAGACCTTTTCCCAAGTACTTCGGGTCGGCTACATGAATCTTCTGTTTTCATTCCGCGCTCTTTGAATCCTATGAGTTCGTATCATTGATGCCAAATTTATTTCTCAATCTTTGGATGTATTGTCAACTAGAGTTTCAATAAACTGCAAATCTCTCTAGTGCACCGGTGCTTTCCCGCCCAGCAGTGAGAACTGTTGCCCCACACCAGAAAGCACGCACAGGTGCACTGTCAGATGTTCTCAGTTACAATTCCCTTAAATTTTACTTTTTGTGGGTAATCATGATCATTCTTACTGTCTTTTATGAGAGGGTTTAAAGTGCTAAAACCAACTGCCCAAAACAAATTCAAAATGCATATGAAAATCTAGAGCACTAATACTAGGAACAGGCAGCATGGAATACAATGTCAACTCATATGAAAATCTAGAACATAACTTTTGGCATAAGCAGCATGGAATACAATGTCAACAAAATCTAAGAGCAGATTCTTATTTGATGATTCTTCATTCATGTCGTATATTTATTGCAGCATATATACAATTTTGAGGTGAATCAAATAACCCGCTTTTCTTTTTAATTTACCAAAAAAATAATAATAATAACCCACTTTTTTCAATGCACTTGTTGATTGATAACAAATTGACTTGATAAGAAGTGCTACACAATTTTATTTCAGAATACAACCAAACTATAATGGATATATTAGTAGATGCAAATTAAACATTTTTTGTTAAGTTATTCTGATATTAATTGGATATATTTATGGTGTCTATTTAAATATGTGAAGGGATATGCATAGCATAAGATCGCATCTAACAAAGCAACATGAGGTCATATTCCTTCAAAAGGTATAACTCCCATTCTGCTCTTTTAAGTTGTTCTCTTCAACTTTGAATTTACAGTTGTTCTCCGGAAATGACTTTTAACCATAATCTGTTGATTTTACAACCCAAACACACACACACACATTGGGTTTTATCAGAACAAACAGATCAATGATGCAGTGAAATATTATTTGAAAATCCGAGTTGAGGAAAATGGGGAAGCAAGTAAGATGATGTGGGCTGTTTTCTCTTTTCCGCAGGCCCCTGCTCTGCTTTCATATTGAAAAACAGATTGTTATATATGATCTTCCAATCAAAAAATTAGTTTCTCAAAAACTAACCCTGCTTGATCATAGTGAAGTTGATTGTTGAAACTAATGGAAGGAGATACTTATTTTCATAGCACTTCTAAATTTAAAGCAGAACCAAAAATTTATAACACAAACCAAAGAAATCTAGGGATGCCAAGAATCATCTCAACGCAACTACATTTACAATCCATTGACAGGACACATACAGGAAGAGAAGTAATAATGCTTATAACGACGAAAATTATGTTTTCAATTTGTTATCATAATGCAAAGATTGAGAGATATTATGTCTCTTTCAGTGCAAAGAGATATCTACCTTTAGCCTAGAAACATGCAAATAAAAACAAACAAATATATAAATTCAATTTCATTCCAACAAATTAAATTGATAAGGAAACAAAATAACAAACAAACAAATTCCCATATATTTTTACCTTGAATTCACAAAACAACTGATAGAAACAATGAATTTGTATAGAAAACAAACAAACAATGAACTGTATCGAAAACAAACTTGCCAAAAGAGAACTCTAGAATCATTTTCACAAACTGCACTGAGAAGATAGGTAGATTAAGCTTTAGAAACACCTCTGTTCAAGGCTCTCTCCAACCTTGTTTCGAATGGGGTGGAGTGCCAATTCACTCTCTTATCCTGCAAACCCATAAACTTAATTAGTACCCTCAATTACCTATAGAAAAATAATCCACAAAATTTTACTTCCCAAATACCTCTCTATACTTGCTGGTTGTGTTTGGTATGCCTTTATAGGAAGAAGCTGAACCAGAATCCTTAGCTGTGCTTGTGTGATTCCAGTATGTCCCAACAGTACCTATTATGGGCATCTCTTCAGGGCTTTGACTCGGTGACCTCCTGGGCGAGCACGATGCAGAAAACTGTTTCACCTCCTCCACAGTCAATGCACCTAAAATTGGTTTATCATCTATGCTCGTCACTGAATTTGATCCTTGTGACATGCTCTTCTCAGGAGCAATAGTTTCAAGCCCAATGGAGCTAGTCTTCTTGGTGGGACTGGTCGCAGAAGACACCAACCAATTTGAAAGACTTGCATCAACAGCTATTTCTCGATTTATATTCTCAGACTGTTCAAAATTGGACTTAAAACTGAAAGATGATTCCTTAAAACTCCATTCTGAACTAAACAAAATACGGGGTGCTTCCCGGTCTGCTATGCAGTTTTCCTTATCTGACTTCAATGATGGTGTCCCTTCTGATTTCACAGCTTTCCACTGACTTAAATTTTCCACCGGGTTCAGTACTGAATCAACATAAACACTCCTGTCTCTTGCATTCCTGCCCAACCCAATGGTTTTCACTTCTTGTTGAGGCAATCCAGACAGTTTCACCGGGCTCTCTACCTCCTCCATAACCACGGTAGCTGGAGAAATGTCTGTCCTTGACTTCATTGATGTAGTTGGAATTGTCTCCGACCACACTTCATTACTTGAAATTCTATAATCCCCATCTTCATCGTAATCTCCATAGTCTTCTTTCTCATCTTCCTCATCATCCAAATCACTGTCCTTATCTTCTGATTCCTCAACGGTGTCATCATTGTCTCTGCAATTCTGGTACCTGTGGTTCTGAGGGTACGATCCAATGCTTGATGTTACTGAACCATTCTCAGCCAGCGAATGGGATAGGCTAGATTCTGCAAAACTGTCCCCCTCCTTCTTGATACCTTTGTCAATCTTCGGTAAAATGTCTGTACTGTTATGGACAGAGACATGTTCATAGGTTCTGACATTTGAATCAAATGTAACTTTTTTCCTGTTACTCAAGCTCAATTGCTCCTCAGACCTATCCCTACAACCAATATCCATAAAATTTCTTTCACAGGAAACCAATTTAAGGAAAAGCATACTTTTTTTTGTTCGTTTTCAAAAGACACAAACATAAATGAAAAATAATAATAATAATGAAAACAAACAGATTAAGAATATTCAATGACCCAGTAAAATAGAAATACTAACTGCAATTCCAAAATCGAGTTGGTGGATTTTTCTGGGATGTTCTGTTCTAAAGAGACAGTTTGTTGCACCGACTTTTGACTTCCATATATCTGCAAAGAGGAAAAGAAGAAGAAGAAGAAAAGCAATTAATTGAATTTAAAGCCCTGTTTGGTTGCTAGGAAAATATTGGAAAAGGGGGGCAGCATATGGGGGACAGAGCAGAACCAAGCGCTTGCCAAGACAAATTCTACTGATTTTGGACAGTGGAATCCACGAAAGGGGTTAAGTGCTAAAATATCGACTCTATGTTGTTTCTGATTTTTAAGAAGAAAATCAATTAATTTGAATTTAAAGCTCAGTTTGGTTAATTAGAAAAATATTGAAAAAGATTAGAAATGAAAACCTTCTCTATTTTTTTTTTTTTTTTTGAAAGTCAAAAAGAACCCAACTTTTGAACCACGGAATCCTACAATTTCGAACCCCAGAAACAAAAAACGAACTCAGCTTGATCCTAATACAACTGTGGTGTTGCTGAGTTGATTTTTAGGTCTTGTGGGAACAATGTAAACATAAACTTCTCTTTCTTTCTTTACTTTTCTTTTTCTTTCATCTAATTTTCTGGGCTGCCAAACAGATGGAAAGATAAATCGAAAACTACATAACAACTAAGCTTAAAGTTGGCTTACTTGTTGATCTAGAGGGAGGACCTCGTTCCTCTGTTTTTGGTGTTTCCGATCCTTTGAAAAACCAAAACAAGCAAGAAAACAGCCCATTAGGGATCTTCACTTCTTGATTTCAGATAGTGATTTTGCTCCAATAAAGGGTGACGAAAATTGGGTTATTAGGTCTTCATTTTTAGAGAGAGAGAGAGAGAGAGGGCAGATTACGAAATGAAGTTGATTGAAAAGACCACAAAGCGGCTGAGAAATGTTGAAGTTTCGATAGGCTCTCTCTAGGGTTTTGTTTGAAAAGGGAAGTGACCGTTGGGATTCTCAATTATAGAATAGAACATGCATAGATAGAAAGGTAATGACTGACGAAGTGATGATGAAATGGGGAAAGAGGGGCATTGTTTGGTTTTTTAAAAAACTTTTTCCTGTTTTACCAAAAAAAAAACGCACAATTTCTTTTTTATTTCTTTTATTTTTCTGTAGTTCTCTGAGATTTTTTTTCTTCTTTTTTTTTTTTTTTTAAAGAGTTCCTAAAAACTGTTATTACAAAACTAAACCAAATTATTTCTATTGAAAAATTTAGACCGTCGAGTTACCCAAACAAGATAAGGGTTGTCAATTACCATTTACTCATTTAGTGAACAGCTAAATTAGGTGTCCATCAAAGTTGATTTTAAGAAAGCATTTGATTCACTTATATGGTCTTTCATTCTCAAGTCCCTCCAAACTCGTTTGTTTTACTGGAGGTACGCACGGTTCCTATTTTTTTTATATAGAAATTGGAACCAAACAGGACCTTGAAATCCAATGGAACCAAACTGTGTTTAATCAATTCAATTTGGTTCCACAGATCCAGTAAAAAAAACAAAAACTAAGAGGAGAAAAAGTTTGATTTTTTTTTTTTTTTTTTTCTAGTTGGTACTCACACAGCCAGACACGTGTGAAGAAAAGACTTGAACCTGATTTCCTCTTTTTGAAAGGTAAAAGACTGATACCGTTAAGTCACTAGTACGTTGGTAAGTTAATTTTTTCCTTGAATGGTATGTTGTTGACTATTATATTACATGAACCTTTGTAACCGAAAATGATTTTTTACCCCTCAAATATAATTTTTCAACGGGAACTTTGTTATCGCAAGCCCGCCGTGGGACAAAGGTTGAGTGAGAGAGAGGAAGGAGGAGGTAGCAGACTTACGGCTGTTTCGGTTTTTTTTTTTTTTTTTTTTTTTTCTATAAAATAAGGAAGTTTTAACTTTTATAAATATCTCCAACAAAGCATTATAACTAATATTATTTTTTTTCTATAATTTCTCTTTTACCGTTTTCATATATTATCATATATGTCATTTAACAAATTGTCCCAAAAAATTGTGCTAAAATTTTGACGCATCAAAGTGAACAAAAAAATTAAGAAGCTTTATTTCAAATTGGGCGAATGGCCAAAAAAATAATAAATAAATAAATAAATCCTCAACTTTTAACCATGTGCAAAAAATGTGGGGTTTAAATTAAATAATATACTTGTAGAAATCAGAATTAATCATCAGGGGTTTTTATATCATACCTGATTAGATGATTAAATTTTAGATACCTTTGAGAATTCCTTAGTGTCCTTTGAGAGATCTAAAAAGTTAGAGCGTTTTACTCCCTTCTGAGAGTTATCGATACAAAAGATCTGAATAAGGAATTTAAAACCCTTGTATATAACAACAACAGGGGGACGGCTTCTCTACAAACAAGCATACCTAAGTCTCCCTTCCTATCATGGAAACTTAGATATCAATTGTTAGAATTAAATCACACCAAATAAGTTGGAAAACCACAATCCAACAGTATAAAAACCATACTTCTAATTAGACCATCAAATTAGAAAGTACAAACCCAATCCATGAAGTATCAAAAATTATATTACAATCCTACTTTAGAAAACGTAGTGCATAGGACCATAAAATAATTTTTATTATTTAAATATATATATATATATAAATTCCAACAAAAAATCCCCCTTATGAATATTTTTATCAAAAAATCCTCCTCAACTATTTCGAGGAGGTGAGTCAGGTGACTTTAATTGATGTCGGTTTAAATGATTTGCTGAGCCATTTTTTTGGACAAAATTGCCCCTCAACAGTAAAGGAATTTTTTATTATTATTTACTTTCTCGTTAGAAAATTCTTCATACCATTATATATTGTCAAAATTATTTTATTTACTTTTATCCTATCAGTATGAAACCATATTATAAGTCAAGTTTATTTTATTTTTTTATCCTATAATATCCATATTTTAATTTTTCCTAATATCATCTTGGATTAAGTATGAAACCATATTATATGTTTATGTATAGAAGGGTATTTTTATACGAGCTTGCATAAAAGTTTATTTTATTTTTTATACTATTATATTTAAATTTGTTTTGGGTACATATAAACAAAAATTAACTGTATTTGTGTGATACATCATTTTGAGTTTAACAAGTTTTCTAAGTTACATGGAAAAGGGGTCATAGGTCCTCTAATGATCATGATGGACATGGCTGTTGGAGAACTAGCTTATGTTAAGTTTGCTAGTGTTTTTTTTGGAAACTAGTTATTTACTTCAAAGCTAAATGCTGGCTACCCCTTCTGCATTTTCAGTCTTTAATTGTATTTCTAACAACTATGAATTTTTTTTTTTGGTTTTGATCTCAATCGCTATGGGGCCTTCAAATTTTTATTTTATTTTTTCAGATGTCAAGGAAAGAAAAGAAATTAAGAGGGAGTGGAATGTCAATTTAGGGGTGGGAATTCGTGTTTGCGGGTCGTAATTGTGTCGTGTCCATGTAAGGGTATTTTACTAAACAGTTTAACCCGAACATGACCCGTTTAATAATTATGTCAAGAACCCTCAACACTAACCCGACCTGTTTATTAAAGGAGTTATACGTATAACCCATCTAATGACTTATTTAATAAAATCAAATATTTAAGTATTTAAATTATTAATAATACTCGATCAAATATTAAATACTAGAAAAATATAAGTTTCAATCCAATCAAATTACTAAATAATCTTTAATTTACAAAAAAAAATAATTATAATTATAAAAATTATATAAGATATAAGTTTAGATAGTTATTTTGGAATTTAAATAGAAATTTGTTCATGACGCGTACAGTTAAACAAGTATAAACGGGTTATACGGGTTGAACCCCTCAACCCAAACACGATACAATTAACTAAACGGATTAATCGTGTCGACCCGTTTACAACCTGAACCCGTTTAAGATCAATCCAAACTCATTTATCTCGTTGTTGACAAGCTGTGTTAAACTTTGTTATCCCTAAATATTATATTAGAGAGAGAGAGGGAGAGAGATTTTGTTTGCACGTGAAAAGAGAACAAGTAATCAATGAGTTTTTGCAAACAAAATCTCATTGAAGGTGAGTACTTTAATTAAAGTACCTCAAGATGAAATTAACCACAAACGTGACCTGTTTAGAGATTTTTATATGTTATTCTATTTATTGTTTTGAAAAACAAGTTTAGTATAGATATTATAAGCTGGGCTATTTCTAAATTATTTTATTATATTTGAAATCTGAATCATCATGCCATACCAAATTTGTAACACTGAAAATTACTTTCTATGTCACTAGATATATTATATTATATTATATTTGTGATTCTTGATTCCTATGTTAGCAGATTACTATAATTATTTAACTTTTATGCAAGCTCTTATAAAAAATATCTTTTTATACAGAAACATATAATATAGATTCATACTAATCTAAGATGATATTAGGAAAAAATTATCATATGGATATGATAGGATAAAAAATAAAATAAACTTGACTCATAATATGGTTTCATACTGATATATAGGATAAAAGTAAATAAAATAAATTTGACTTAGATTAATTTTCACACGTATATAATGGTACGGAGAATTTGCTGACGTGGCTGTTAAGGGGTAATTTTGTCCAAAAAAATGATAATAAGAGTGCAATTTATATATAAAATTAACAATAAGTAAAAAAATGAGTTTAAAAAAGAGTTGTGAGACAGAAAGTAGGTGTAAAAACGTTGTCTTAAAGTTGATAGTCCTTCATACATGCAAGTACAAACGATATAACACAAGACCACACGAGATTATGTTCTCCAAATCTATATTATGTGTCTTGTTGTCCATAAACTCATAAAATAAATAAATAAATGGATACACAAGTATAAACATGCTTTGAATAAAAAGATGGAGAAGAAAAACATGGTAGCCACATTCGTCCAAATTGAGAGATATTGAATGCTTTTTATGTATATATAAAATGAATAAGTAACAGTTAAGATATAACAATTATGAATGAATAATATCCACCATAAATATGATTTAACTAGTAAAATAATATCACATTAAGCCATCGTTAATTTAATTTAATTATATTTTTTATTAAAATATTTCCAACATTATTCAATATTCGATTCATTAAGATAAATTTGACACACTTTCTACATGACATTGTCTAAAGTTTATATAGAGAGTTATTTTTTACTCTTGAGATTTTTTTTAAAATAATAAAGAAATATAGATTAATTATAAAATTTAAGAATAATGGAATAACTCATTTATTATTCATTACTCTGTTATATTTTTATCTGTTATGAGTAGTTTATTACCAACAATGAATTTGAAATAATTTGTTAAATATTTTAAGAGTACTGATTTTGATAACAACTATTATTTTCCAAAGGACAATACAAATTATGTGTGCATTTGTAATTGGATCACATCAGCCGTCGATGACCTGGGTAAGTATTGTTCTTTCCAAACATATCCATTCACTTGATAAAAGTTCAATTTCCTCTCTCTCCATGAAAACACAAAGGTAGAACTGTAGAAGGAGAGAAAGGCCCTGTTTATGGAAAATAGGAATATACACAAGATGTTAAATAATTTTGGTACCTAGCATGTGGAAGAAACAAAGCATATGATAATTTTAGTGGTTCTAGTTTTGGTTGCAACACAGCATTTGTGACAATCTTCATATTGATTAGCATTGTAACATATGATGATCAATACCTTAATATTCCTTCAGTTCAAAGCTTCACTGAGAATCCAAGAGGGAATATATGCAGTAATGGTGCAGAGAATGCAAATTCGCCTTGCATTGCAAGTCATTGAACATCTGAACTAGTATGCTTATTGCTTAGTCAATTAAGATTTAACTAGAATCTAGCTTGATCAAAGAAAGACCAGATTAGAAACAAAAAACTCAACTTATTGGGTGGTTAATTGGTAATTAAGCTATATTTGCATATTAATCAATTAAATTATATAAGTATTCCAAGTATCTTTTACTATTTTGTGGGGTTTTTTTTAAAAAAAAAAAAAAAAAAAAAAAAAAATTGGTGGCATATATAAAGTATCACCTCAGATAACTTCTATATATTTCTGTCAAATAAATATAATCATTGTAATAATTATGTGGATTAGAATGCATGGAGGTCTCATGCACTGCATCTAACCTAGTCACTGGATGTTCGTTTTCGTGGATCACAAGGATTGTTCTAACACTTTGATTGGCAGTGAGCCGCCTCAGCATGATCCAAAACAAGTATGTGGTTCTGTAAAGTTGTCAATTTGAGATGAACCAGAATTAAAGAGAGAATACAATTTTTTTTGGACCTATTAGTGTTTTTTTCTTCTTTTGCATTGATTCCATGTATGGTTGTATTTAGCAAAGTCTACTTTGTCTTCAATGTTGTTGTCTTATTTTGAAAGCCTTGTCAATGTCACAGGCCTGTTTAATTACTTTTTCTTGGCCTTCCTCTTTGTCTTCTGCCTCCACCTTCATCAAATGAAAGCACAAAAATCAATACGTTATGGTTCACCCAAGTTCATTTTTCAAAACTGATCTTTCATTTCAGGGTGCTATTTCACTAATCAGAAGAAAGAAGAAACAAAAAGTCGTGATCGTAATCAAAATATATATGTGAATATTCATTTGCAGTAGCTACAGTTTTCTTGACCATTGACAGAAGTTACTGTTTCCCGCGACAACAATCCTTCGTAAGCTTGTTATAGTTTAACAATCTGTCAGTGTCTCATTTGTTAGGCTTATTGGCTCAAAAATATGATAATGGAGTTTAATTGTTTTTTTAATAAAAAAATATCATGAACATCCAGATTTAGGGTTTATGAATGAAGTATTGGATGAGTGAAAAGCTTAATTAATTAAGAGGAGCTGTCAAGCCATAGTTCACTTGTAATAAATACCCAAAATACAATTTCCAATAGAGAAAAGGTCTAAAAAAGCATATTGATATAGGTTAAGCCAGTGAGTAAGGATGATTAGAGTATTTTACCAATCCTCTAAGCCTTTTCCAAACCCGATTCAGGTAGGCTTAAACTTTGATCAATCACTAGTTTACGGCTAGGAAATTGACCTGTCTAATACAGAAAATCAGTACAAGCTGAAGTTGTAATTCTATAGGAGTACAGTGGGGGGCGGTTATTAGTCATTTTGAACTCTCATTAATTCGTTTGCTCTTCATCGTAGTGAAATCTTGGCGACTCCAGTAGCACAAGTTTTGGGTAAACCACGTAAAAATCTGTAGGTTTTGCTAGTGTTCTTTGTTTCTATTTCTGTTATTTTTCTCAGCAGAGACATTAATATCGGCCTTTCATCCGTATAAATTTGTGTATCAGCTAATCAGTTTGAATAAACAGCATATATGTCTACTAAAAAGAAAAAATTACAGATCATTGTCATTCCTGCTATATATTATTGAGAAGATATACCCTATCAATTTATACCTCATGTTATGCTGGCAGATAAACATTAGCATTTAGCAGCCTTCTCGAAGCACCTTAATTTCAACTGCTTCCGTATCTGCAGCATCATCACCTGCATAGCAATGCTCCATGTCATATATATTTTTTTTTCCAGTAACTTATGCCATTCATCAACAGACAAAAGAGGATCTTAGATTCTTTGCCGGTTTTCAGTTAGAAATACTCTTTGTAGTTGATGTCAATTCATAGTTTATCAATTTATTTTTATACAATTCATAATTAAAGACAAGTCAGACAAGTGTAGCCATGTAGCAGCATTTGGGAAGCCTGAATTAACTCACATGTTAGTGATTTTACACAAGCATTATAGCTTATGCCTTACGGCCCTCGCGATGTGTCTACATCAGTACTGCTAAATTTAGTCGATAGTTTAGAGGCAAACCTACTAGAAAATAGTTACTAGAAGACGCAAAAGATTAACTTCTTAGCTCTAAAGGAATGATTCATATGGAGGTTAAAGGTTGTGGTAAAAAGGTATGCAAGTGGAAAATCTGATGCTTTATAAAGAGCCATACACTAATATGAGTTGCACTTAAAATTATAGCCACTCTTTCTCTCCCTACCATAATGACAAAGTTAGAAGAAGAGAAAGGCCATGTTGATGGAAAAGAAGATTACACACAAGATGGGACTGTGGATCTCAAAGGTGCACCCATCCTAAGATCAAAAACAGGGAGATGGAAAGCTTGTTCCTTCCTTGTAGGTAAAGTATCTTATGCGCACGCTTTAATATAGTCCATCCCACCCTCTTCTTTGAGCATGTTATTTTTACCTAGTTCCTTCGAGTAGAGTAGTGTTGAAAGAAAAGGGTTCATGAGTTTGGGATGCCCCTATATAATTGAAGAATATTACTCTATATTTAAAGTATTAGGCTTATGATTTATAAGGACACCAAGTCTCACCAAACTCATCTTTCTCTCATATCTATTCTAAATCCATGTTTGATAGAAGACAACCCAAGGAGTGATAAGCAGCCTATGTAGGACTAATGAAGTTCTGTTCAATTTTTCATTTTTTTGGTAAGTATCTATTCTTCATTTTTGACCCTCTATTTCTATGCTTTTGCAGCATATGAAGTGTTCGAGAGGATGGCATATTATGGCATTGCTTCAAACTTGGTGCTGTATCTAACAAATAAGCTCCATGAAGGCACTGTAAAATCTTCAAACAATGTCACCAACTGGATTGGTACCGTATGGTTGACTCCCATTTTAGGCGCTTATATTGCGGATACTTATCTTGGCAGATACTGGACTTTTGTCATTGCATCAGCCATTTACTTTGCGGTAGTACCTAAATTCAGTTTACATGCATATAACATATGGATATATAATTCCATTGCATAAACCAGTTCTGTATTATATGTATTCATCGTAAACCAGGCATGGTCAAATACGTGTATGATCATCGTATAACTACTGCAATCCACACATACTCTGATTTTTCTGCAAGTGGTCTTATGGGAAAGTATTGATCAATTGAATACCAACAAAAATTAACAATGATCAGACACTTTGATGCAAATCGGATTAGCCTTCATCGAGGTAGCCTATTGTCATCATGGGAGAGATCATGAAACCTCCAAGGTTTAATGTTAGAGGCTGTTGCAAAACTTTTGCAATACTCTCTTTCTAGCTATGATAAAGATATATCATTCATCTATATATTATATTTGTCTGCTGTCCAGTCAATATCAAAAGGTTGAATCAATTGTCTTCTTGTCACCAGTTTATGTCCAAAAAAAAAAAAAAAATTATTTGCTTTTGACCTAATAACAGAAGAAAGCAAAATTTTTGATGTTTGGTGAAAAAAATAGTTTTTATCCACTGGCTTCTACTAAATGGAAAAAAAAAAATTTCATCCTAAACTTTATTGTTTTTTAGAGGACAAGCCATGGACTTTGTAATACAAAACCAGGTAAATAGTACCAAGGCCTGATAAAGAGAGGATCAAGTAATGTGTCCCCAAGTCAAGCCTTTTTCACACACACAAAAAATTGCACCAAATAACAAAAGTAGATCGTTTATGCAATTACTTACAGTTTGCCACCTTCTTAATGTCTACCAAACAGGGAATGTGCTTGTTGACACTAGCAGTTTCATTGCCATCCCTGAGGCCACCACCATGCAGTGTAGGGATCAAGGACGAGGACTGTAAACAGGCCTCATCGTTACAAGTTGGTGTTTTCTTTTGTGCCTTGTACATAATTGCAGTGGGAACAGGGGGAACCAAGCCCAATATCTCAACCATGGGCGCAGACCAGTTCGACGATTTTGAGCCAAAGGAAAGGTTCCAAAAGCTATCCTTCTTCAATTGGTGGATGTTTAGCATTTTCTTTGGTACCCTCTTCTCCAATACTTTCCTTGTGTACATTCAAGACAATGTGGGCTGGACTCCTGGCTATGGGCTTCCGACACTAGGGCTTGCAGTTTCCATTTTAGTGTTTGCAGTGGGCACCCCCTATTACAGACACAAGGAGCCATTAGGGAGTCCCTTGACTAGGATGGCCAAGGTCCTAGTGGCTGCAGTGAGGAAGTGGAATGTGGTTGTTCCAGATAACACAAAAGAGCTTCATGAGCTAAGCTTAGATGAGTATTCCAAGTCTGGCAACTTTAAAATTGACTACACCACTTCATTAAGGTCAATCTCTCTCCATTTTCTAGCTGTTAAAATTTCATTTAACCTTTATTGCTAAAGTAATATTATGTTTATTGGCAACTATAAGAATCAAATCCCTAATCCCACCCCTCTTATGTCATGCCAATACTTCATTATTGTGCTGCAACATATCAGAGTATGTGTAAATGAGCCCTCATCTACATCTCCATGTTTAAAAGTATTATAGTTAATGATATGCATAAAACCACACATACTTCCTTTCAATAGGTTGTTGACATGACCAACAAAAACTGAGAGTAATGCAATTATATGCAATTTTCTCTACTTGTTCCCACCATTTCCTCTCTTAATTACTAGCATTGCATCTGCAGGGTCCTAGACAAAGCAGCCGTAAAGAGTGGGCCAAGTTCACCATGGATGCTATGTCCAGTGACCCAAGTTGAAGAAACCAAGCAAATGATAAAAATGCTTCCAATTTTGGTTTCAACATTCCTACCTAGCACTATGCTAGCACAAACACATACACTTTTCATCAAGCAAGGCGCCTTAATGAACAGGAGCATTGGTCCTCATTTCAAAATTCCCCCAGCATGTCTAACAGCGTTTGTAACGATCTTCATGTTGATTAGCATTGTGGTTTATGACCGGTACTTTGTTCCTGCAATTCGACGCTACACCAAAAATCCAAGAGGGATCACAATGCTGCAGAGAATGGGAATTGGATTTTGTTTGCATGTGGTTGTCATGACCACTGCTTTCTTAGCTGAAAGAAGGAGATTAAGTGTCGCAAGGGAGAATAACATCACCGGCAAACACCAAATTGTTCCGCTTAGCATTTTCATTCTCCTCCCTCAATTTGCTTTGCTTGGGGTTGCTGATAACTTTATGGAAGTTGCAAAGCTTGAGTTTTTCTATGACCAAGCACCACAGGGCATGAAAAGCCTTGGGACTGCCTATTTCACAACCAGCTTGGGAGTTGGGTATTTCCTCAGCAGCTTTCTTCTATCAACTGTGGCTAATCTTACTAAGAAAAATGACCACACTGGGTGGATTTTGGACAACCTAAATATCTCTCATTTGGACTACTATTATGCCTTCTATGCCGTATTGAGCATTCTAAACTCTCTGTTTTTTCTGGTTGTTGCAAAGTCATTCGTATATAATGTGGACATCAATGAATGCCAAAGGGAGCTGCAGGAATCAATGGAAACCTTGCAGATGAAATCTACATCTCGAGATGACAAGGGTTTGTTAGATGGGTTAAAATCCTAAAACTTCTTGTAAATTGTTTTCTTGTAAGAATCAGATTACAAGCTGGTCAAATTCAATCAATGTCAAGTTGTTCTCTGTTGTTCATACTTGGCCACTGCAAGTGAAAAGTATATATATTTTATGACTATAAATAACAAAACCAAATGACAAGGACAAGAAAAATAATAAAATCAAGTGAAATGAGTAAGATAATTACTATATACTTTAGATATGCAGAGGAAGAGCATACTTTCAATTAAAGTAAGGATGGAGTTAAATTGGATATATTTATAGACAACTCATAAATTAATTTGATTCATGTAATTTAAGGTGAATATAAATCCTAGAAAAGCAGATAAACATAGTTATATATTTGGAGAGAGATATGCCCTCACATAAATGACCATGAGGATAAGATGGTCACCTACAATATTTTTTAGAAGAGAGGAGTGCGAGTCTTCAAAGAAGTGAGTGAATTTGAAGATTGTTATGTAATGGAATAAGGAAACTCTAGTTTAATGTAAAAGTTCATGTAATACAAATAAAGACCAAAAAGAAATGTTTCGAATAAAGTATATAAATACATATATATATATATATATATATATATATATATATGAAATTGTTTTCTTATAAGAATCATAACCCAGTATGTTCATTTGCTTTTCATTATAGTTAAAATTTGGCAACTCTACTTAGTCCTAGTCTTGGGTGAATTAAATAATTATGTGTTTTGGTTGTGTTGTTTGATTTTTTGAGTTAATTTCGTCTAATATCACATTAAAATATATGAAAAGATAATTTTACCCTTAATTTTTAATATTTTTTATATTTTAAAATATCAACAATCTGAAAGGGCAAAATTGCCCTCACTAATTACTCTAACCAACCCACTCTTCTGTCACTTTGCAGCTCCCAAATTCTACCATTTTTAACATTCTACCAGCCTTTCCTTTTCAAATTAAACAGATGATAAGATATATATGTATAATATACAACTATAACAAATCAAGAATTCCCATACGACTCATCCAATTATACAAATCAAATGAAAACAACCACACAATACTCAAATATATAGTTACAACTATATAGCATACACACACATATGCTCACCCGGTTGTCTGCGCATGTTGTAACCCTCGCAAGTGAATCCGATGGCAACCTTGCCCTTGGCGCCATGATTCTTGACAAACATCTCGAAGTAATAGACAAGTCACTTCACCGGAGCAGGCCGATTCGCCTCAACGGCGCCGACGTCGTGTTCGTGCAAGTTCACACCCAAACCAATCGTAATCTTTATTACCTACAAACCGCTTCGCAAATCAAGCCCTAAATCATCCACCTCGCCGTCGCTACCTCGACGTCGCCGTAAACCACGTCGCCTTTTCCGTCGCCTAAAGTTGCTGTTGTGAACCATGTCACCGCTTCCACCCCGCCTCAACCTCGCTGCTGCTAATTCGGCGTGATTGTTTCACTTGAATACATAGTGGTTGTTGGGGTGAGGATGGTAGTGGTGGCTGCTACGGGGTTCATTCGCCGAATACAGAGTGGTGGTGGTGGTGATTATGGTCCTTATGGATATGGGATGGCGGTGGTGGTTGCGGAGGTATAGAGATAGAGATGGTGGTGGTGGTTGTGGGGCATCTATTGTGGTAGTGGGGGTGGTACTGCCGGTAGTGGCGGGGGTGGTTATGGTGTGTTCTGGTTTTGCGTTAATTTGTGGGTGTGTGATGTCCATGAGTTTGATTTTTTATTTTGTTTTTAATACTTAAATTCACCCTGCTTTCTTTAAATTCAGTTCATTTTTTGAGTTTTTGTTTTTAACACTTAAATTATTGACCTGCTTTCTTTAAACTCACTTCATCTGCTTTCTTTAAATTCACTTCATTTTTTTTGTTTTAGTTTAGTGTAATGGCGTGATACACACACAAAGTCAAAAGAAATTCAAGTCATTTCAACCATTTTGACGAGGTAACAAAAGTCAAAAGGATAACAATGTTATTTTACAAGCAAAAATTATTCTGACACTAATGAAAAATAACTTTTAGTTTGGGATGTGAGCGAAAAATGAATCAAACATATCTACCATGAGTGATAATAATTTTTTAGAATTGTTTTAATGTGATATTTGACTAAACTTAAGAGGTGTTAATGAAATTAACCCTTATTTCTTTTTATACAATATCGTCCCTTGAGTCCCTTCGTACCTATAAATTATGCATTAGCTAGTCCGTTTGAATAAATAGCATATCTTATTAGAAGATGTCTTTTAAAAGGAACAAGTTATAGACCATTGTTGTAGCTATGGGCTGGGCTGCAGTATCTCCAATTTGGCGCCTTAGGGTAGGATCTGAAGAGTCTTGTCTTGGAAAAAAAAAAAAAGAATGTGTTACAGACCATTGCCTTTCCTGGTATATATCATTGATAAGATATCCCCTATCAATTTGTATCTCATGTTATGCTGTACTTTAATTTCATCTCCTCGTATATCGGCAGCATCATCACCTTCACAGCAATGCTCCATATCATTTGTATTTTCCATTAATTTATGTCATTCATTCACAGACAAAAGAGGAAATTTGATTCCTTGCCGGTTTGCAATTGAAATAATATGTCTAGTTGGTGTCAACACATATTTTATCAAAAGTCTTCATACAATTCCCAATTAAAGACAATTTATGTCATTCATTGACGGCCAAAAGAGGAAATTCGATTCCTTGCCAGTTTGCAGTTGAAATAATCTGTCTAGTTGGTGTCAACGCATATTTTATCAAAAGTCTTCATACAATTCCCAACTAAAGACAAGCTAATGTAGCAGCATTTAGGAAGCCTAAATTAACTTACATAATGATTAGCTTACCATATATTGTAGCCTATGTCTCCCGCAATTTGTCTACATCAATACTGCTAAATTTTGTAGATAGTTTAGAGGCAAACCTACTAAGAAATAATTAATAGAAGATAAAAAATATGCAGAAAGATTCTTAGCTCTAAATGAATGATACATATAGAGGTTAAAGGCTGTGGTAAACAAGTATGGAGTGGAAAATCTGATGATTATAGAGATTGAGAGCCTAGAGTCCTAACTTTATAAAAAGCCATACACTCACATGAGTTACACCTAATATTATAGCCCCTATCTCTCTCTCTAGCATAATGGCAAGTTTAGAAGAAGAGAAAGGCCATGTTGATAGGAAAGAGGATTACACACAAGATGGGACTGTGGATCTCAAAGGTGCACCCATCCTAAGATCAAAAACAGGGAGATGGAAAGCTTGTTCTTTCATTGTAGGTAAAGCATCTTATGCGCGCGGTTTAATTCCATCCCACCCTCTTCTTTGAGCTTTTATATTTTATCTAATTCATTTGAGTAGAGTAGTGTTGAAATAAAATATTTCAATAGTTTGGGATGCACCTATATATATTGGAAGAACATTTGGAGTATTTGCTTATGATTTATAAGAGCATCAAGGCTCACCAAACAAATATGCAGCCTATGTAGGACTAATTAAGAATTATGTTCTTTTTCTTTTCTTTTCTTTTCTTTTTTTTTCTTTCTTGTGGTACATCTCTTCTTCATTTTTAACCCTCCATAGCAATGCTTTTGCAGCATATGAAGCGTTTGAGAGGATGGCATATTATGGAATTGCATCAAACTTGGTGTTGTATCTAACAAATAAGCTCCATGAAGGCACTGTAAAATCTTCAAACAATGTCACCAACTGGATTGGCACTGTATGGTTAACACCCATTTTAGGCGCTTACATTGCGGATACTTATCTTGGCAGATACTGGACTTTCGTTATTGCATCAGCCATTTACCTTGTGGTAGTACCTAAATTCAGTTTACATACATATAACATATGGAGATATATATATATATATATATATATATATTTCCATTGCATAAACCAGTGATTTATTAAATGCATTCATCATAAACCATGCATAGTCAAATATGTGTATGATCATCGTAAAACTAATGAAATATTCTACACTGATTTTTCTGCAAGTGGTATTATGGGGAAGTACTGTTCTACTGAATCTCAACAATATAAATTAATAATGACCAGACACTTTGATGCAAAGCTGATTAACCTATTGCATCATGGTAGATCATGAAATCTCCAAGGTTTTATGTTAGAGGCTGTTGCACCAAAAACTTATACAATAGTATCTCTCTGGCTAAGATATAAATACATAAATATACGAGTGTGTGTGTGTGCCTGCTAGTCAATCAATATCACAAGGTTGAATCAATCTGTCATCTTGTCACCAGTTTATGTCAAATGAGGATTTTCTTTTGAGATAATGACAGAAGAAAACAAAACATTTCTAATCCATTGGCTTTTACTAAATGGGGAAAAAATAAAATTAATACAGAACTTAAATGTTTTCTTGGGAACAAGCCATGGACTTTGTAATGCAAAACTATATATATAATACTAAGGCCTGAAAAAGAGAGGACCAAGTAATGTGCCCCCAAGTCAAGCTTTTTTCACACAAACAAATTGCACCAAATAACAAACGTATATGGTATATGAAATTATTTATAGTTTGCCACCTTCTAAATGTCTACCAAACAGGGAATGGGCTTGTTGACACTAGCAGTTTCATTGCCAGCCCTGAGGGCACCATCATGCGGTAAAGGGGTCAAGGAGGAGGACTGTAAACAGGCTTCATCATTACAAGTTGGCGTCTTCTTTTGTGCTTTGTACATAATTGCAGTGGGGACAGGTGGAACCAAGCCCAATATCTCAACCATGGGGGCCGATCAGTTCGACGATTTTGAGCCAAAGGAAAGGTTCCAAAAGCTATCCTTCTTCAATTGGTGGATGTTTAGCATTTTCTTTGGTACCCTCTTCTCCAATACTTTCCTTGTGTACATTCAAGACAATGTGGACTGGGCTCTTGGCTATGGGCTTCCGACACTAGGGCTTGCAGTATCCATTTTAGTGTTCCTGGTGGGCACCCCCTATTACAGACACAAGGAGCCATCGGGGAGTCCCTTGACTAGGATGGCTAAGGTGATGGTGGCTGCAGTGAAGAAGTGGAATGTGGTTGTCCCAAATGACCCAAAAGAGCTTCATGAGCTAAGCTTGGATGAGTATTCCAAGTCTGGCAACTTCAAAATTGACAACACTCCTTCATTAAGGTTCGATCTCCCATTTCTAGTCGTTAAAATTTCATTGATCCTTCTTGCTAAAGTAATATGTTTACAGTCAACTGACAGCTACAAGAATCAAATTCCTAATCTCACCTCTCTTTTAGATGACACGCCAACACTTTATTATTCTGCTACAACTTTGGTTGGTAGAGCATCTGCATATGAGTCCTCATCTACAACTCCTTGTTTTGGGGCATTTTTTCCTTTGGCCAAAATAGTTAATGATATCCATATAAGCACACAGGATGGGATGATTGAAGATATAAATTCCTATGTTACGCCATTTCAATAGGTTGTTAATATGATTTTATGACCAACAAAAACTAAGAATAAAACAATTATATGCAATTTTCTCTATTTGTTTCCACCATTTCCTCTCTTAATTACCAGCATCGCATCTGCAGAGTCCTAGACAAAGCAGCCGTGAGGAGTGGGCCAACTTCACCGTGGATGCTATGTCCAGTGACCCAAGTTGAAGAAACCAAGCAAATGATAAAAATGCTACCAATTTTGGTTGCAACGTTCCTACCTAGCACCATGCTAGCACAAACACACACACTTTTCATCAAGCAAGGCGCCTTAATGAACAGGAGCATTGGTCCTCATTTCAAAATTCCTCCAGCATGTCTTACAGCATTTGTAACGATATTCATGTTGGTTAGTCTTGTGGTTTATGACCGGTACTTTGTTCCTGCAATTCGACGCTACACCAAAAATCCAAGAGGGATCACATTGCTGCAGAGAATGGGAATTGGATTTGTTTTACATGTGATTGTCATGGTCACTGCTTTCTTAGCTGAAAGAAAGAGACTAATCGTTGCAAGAGAGAATGGCATCTCCGGCAAACACCAAATTGTTCCTCTTAGCATTTTCATTCTCCTCCCTCAATTTGCTTTACTTGGGATTGCTGATAACTTTTTGGAAGTTGCAAAGATTGAGTTTTTCTATGACCAAGCACCACAGGGCATGAAAAGCCTTGGGACTGCCTATTTCACAACCAGCTTCGGAGTTGGGTATTTCCTCAGCAGTTTCCTTCTATCAACAGTGGCTAATATTACTAAGAAGAATGACCACACTGGCTGGATTTTGGACAACCTAAATATCTCTCATTTGGACTACTATTATGCCTTTTATGCTATCTTGAGCTTTCTCAACCTTCTGTTTTTTCTGGTTGTTGCGAAGTCATTCGTATATAATGCGGATGTGAATGAATCTCAAAGAGAGCTGCAGGAATCAATGCAACCCTTGTGGAACAAAGCTGCATCTCAAGATGACAAGGGTTTGAAAGACGGGCTAAGTTCCTAAAACTTCTTGTAAATTGTTTTCATATGTGAATCATATACAAGCTGGTAAAAAACAATCAATATCAACTTGTTCTCTTTTCTTCATACTTGGCCACTGCAAGTGAAAAGCTCATTATAAATGTAACATAGATTTTGGTCATTTTCTGCATATTCTATGAAGTTCTCCTATCAAAACTTAATGGCGTATTCTATGTATTAGTGGCATTGTTTGGCTAAATGGGATCAACCTCTTTCATACACTACAGACGTATACCACTCTAATGTCACATAAAATTATTTCCAAGGTGATTACCAATAGACTGAAACCTATACTTAACACCATGATTAATGATACCCAAAGTGCTTTTGTAGCTGGTAGACAGGACAATATTTGATCACTCATGAATTGTTGCATTACATGAAAAATGAAAGGGAACGAAAAAAAACGCTTTTGCGGCACTTAAATTGGACATGAGTAAATCCTATAATAAGGTTTAGTGGTTTTTCTTGCTTGCTATTTTTTAAAAAAAAAATTATAAAAATAAAAAAATAAAAAATTATTGGGACTCAATTGTCATTGGTTTTACCGCATTTGTTCATTCATTCATTCATGTATAACCTCAGTTTCTTACTCAATTTCGATAAATTGTAGCCCTTGTGGTTTCTTCAAACCCTCAAAAGGCTTAAGGCAGCGAGATCCTCTATCTTTCAACCTTTTCCTTATACGTGCAAAAGGATTTTGTTGATCTATGTCCTAGGAATTGCGCATTTAATATAAAAAATTATTAATTTCACCCTAATTTTAGCTTTAGTGCCCACTATGCCCATTATCATCACTTACTGCATAATTCATGTTCACTTTCTATTGTGCTGAAAGTGCATCATATCCGTCATTTGAATATATTAGTGTTTCAAGTTATTTATGTGCTTAGTGCATCATTCTTGTAGCCTATATATTGCTTATTGCAGCTGCTGAGGATTTAAAGAGACCGGATAATTAAATTGCTAAGGCTGAGTGCTGAGAATCTCTCTACTCTTTCCATATGCATTGAGTGATCCTTTTTTCTCATATAGAATGCTAGATTTCATTGTGGTTTTAGCATATTGAGAAGGAGCTGCATTTTCTTACTGCTCAGTTCTGAAAAAACTGCATTGTTGCATCAGTCAAGACTATGAGTTGATTAAGATGATTTTATCTTTTTGAGGTCTTGAAGGATTCTTGATGATCTGAGCAATGTTAAAATAGTCTCTGAAGGTTCCTCAAGCTGCAGAATTCACAAAAGCATGGCTGCTACAACTTTCCCTACAGCAAACCATGCCAGCAGAAACTGAGAACCTGTTTCAGTTGCTGTCAAGCCTCAAATAGTGCTATCAAGTGCAGATGCTGTGTATTTGAGACTGTCCTTGGCGTGAACAAAATTATTTCTTCATTTTACATCATTTCAAGCAAGTCCCAAGTCTTTGCTGAGGCTGCATCAAAGATTCACCTTTCAAACCTCAGTTTTCAGCTCCTATTGCAGTTGTAAGTAAGCTTCTGTGTCCATTCAAGCTAGTTGAGTTATGATTCAGATGTTTTACTTCTTGAGTGAGTTTTGTTGTTATTCTTTACTGTTTTTGTGATAGTTAGTCCAAGTTTTGGGTGCTTTCGGACAGGGGGAGTGTTTGAGTGCATTTGTAGTGAGTTTGGCGAGTGTGTGAATGAGAATGTGTGTATGTGTAACTCAGCTTAATTCATAGCGGATTTCTTGATCTAGGCTTCACAGCCTCAAGGACGTTTCCTCCACATTGGGGGTTTTACCTCATACATTAGGTGTCATACTTCTTATGAAATTGGTTTATGCATTTTGTCAAACACCTGTAGCTAATTAGGGTTTGAAAAGGACTTTCATCAAACACTTCAGCATTTGGCATAGACACTGCCTTGCAAAGCCACAAAACACACCTACAATCTCTGAAGAAGAATTGTAATAGTTAATTGAATTTTTAGTGGACCAATTCACCCACTCCCCCTCTTGGTCTTCAGATTTCTTGTGCCTCGCAGGCTTCACCTCATTCATCCAAAGCAGTGTGGACTGCTTTGCCCCTTTGTACAATGTCTTGCTTTAGACTTGCTAATGCATTGTGCCAATCAATTGTGAAGAACCAGTGAAACACATGCTCTTCCTCTGTCCACAATCGGCTTTGGTCTGGAAGCTTTCTCCTCCTAGACTTGTTGAGTTTCTGGATGTGAACTTTCCCTCCTTTTCAAGTTGGTGGCAATTTATGAATCACAAGTGTTTAGCTTAGCATTGCTTCATTCATTTGTTGGTACACATGAAGGGTAAGGAATGCATTTTACTTGAAGGTGCATCATGGAGTGAGAAGCTTATCACTGAGGTTGCCACATCTCATTTTCATGAATTCTCAAAAAATTAATAAGGGGTCATGGAGCATAGTAAGATTGCTCTATTATCATGGTCACGACTCGAAACAATTTATCTTATCTGTAAACGTACATGTAACCTTTCTTAAACTTCAAAAAAATTGGTGCTATGAATTCATCTTTGTTTTTTTATAAAATAATATTTACTATGAAAAAAAACTGATGTGCCATAATGATGGAAAGAAGATGCATGCCCATTTTAAAAATAAAAATTAAAAATATATATATAAAGTCTTATGTTACGTTTGGGACAAGTTTGAATTAAAGATCCAAAAAAATTTAGTTAACATTAAAAAAATTCTTCTAATCTTAAATCAGCTTTCAATTCTAATATTTATTTTTTATATTTTGAATTCAAAATAAAAATTAGTATCATCAATGGCTTTCAATTCTAATATTTATTTTTTATATTTTAAATTCAAAATAAAGGTTAATACCATCAATTATTTGTATTTTATAGAAATAACCAGTAAAAATATTGTTATTCACTGCTCATTCTTCGTTGTGTCACATTTCCAATTTTCCTCCTCACCCAGCATGGTCTATTTTTATACTCTATTTATAAAGTGTATGCAATATTGACACGTCATCAATCTCAAATTAACCTAAGCCATTTAATCACTATTCCTACTATATATATATAGTAGTATATATACACAGTTACCCCAAATCCCTAACAATGTTCTCTGAAAGCATCTGCTACCTCCATTTCGCAACCATGGCGGCCACAGTGGCAGCAACAGAATCCCAATCCATCCTGACATTTCGATCATCACCATCTTCATTGTATCTCGTCTTCTCCAAAGACCAAGCCTCACCCAAAGCCCCTCCACTTGCTGGTTCCGTCTGGCCGGTCCTGTCCACTGTTCACTCTCTCATCCAGGTTGCGATTACGAGCATCGGTTGTTCAGTTTCATGAACAAGCCCGGCGTGAATATATTTCGAAACAGTAGATGATGCACTGTTACATCAATAGAGGTACATATATATATACATGTATACATCATATATATGCATGTACAAATCTTGAATCGCAGTCCAGTGAACCATCTTGGTCTTGATTTTTCATTTCTGGGGCTTCTGCATTTATTTGTGTATGTGTGTTTATGCATTTCACCGAGCTCTAGCTTAAGGATTATGCATTTTAGTATGTTACATCGGGACTGCCCTCTCTATGTTTGAGTAGGAGCATCTTAAGCTTCCCTATTAAGAAGGATATATAATTTTAGAGAGAGAAAGAGAGTCCATAGATGTATGGGATTCGGCATTTGAGCTTTTCCAGCTACCAACGTTTGCTTATTATTGGGTTTACTAGTTGTTATTGCTCAGCTTGTTAGTGTATGATATGTTCTCTCCGGTAGACTTTAGTTTTGAATGGTTGCATTTCCCAATTTTTACAGGTTTAGTGTTATCCTCCTGCTGGATTCTTGTCTTGATTCCGATAAAGAGGTTTATGGTAAGTCTTCTTATTTTTTATTGAAGTTCTATCAGATTTCAGCTACAAGTGGAATTATCTTGCATATTGAAGCATGTCTTTGATATTTTTTTTTATGATTGGTTATTGATTCATAAGTGTAGAATTTATGGTTTCATAGCGAATTCAACTGTTCATATTAGTAGCTTTTGGCATGTTCGAGGTATGATTATAACGGGACGAGCTTACCCAAAAGTGATTTTGATTTTCTTTCTTACTTATGCCTGAAATTTGAAGTAATTTAAATCAAGTACATTTCTCCTTTTTGTCCCTTGCATAATATTTATTTATTTATTTTTTCCTTTCCAGATATTAGAATATCAAGGAATAAATTTAGAAGGCCTTTTTCTGTTTTTAATGCCTCAAGGCCTATACCTTGCGTCCATGAAATACTGCATGTTATATGCTATTACTTTTAAAAACATTGATATTTTTCGTACTCTTATGAATTTTATTTTTATTTATTTATTATTTTTTTGTGTTTGTTTGATGCTTCATTGGGTGCAAGAGTCATAAACTCAGTTATTCATAAGATACAAGTGTGATGATGGTAAGTCAGTCCATCTTGGCAAAAGCTGAAGAGCCTAAATGGGCAATGAACAGCTTTGAATGCTAATGGACTTACATCAACTTTCTCTCTTACTTTTATAACTGTTCTGGGCTTCTCAAACTCAATGGAGCGACAGCTTAGAGGAGATGAGACATGAAATTTTGCTTCATGCCCTTTTTTAATTAGTGAGAAGCTGCATGCAAAGGATCGTAAACTTGTTGGATGTTTCATGTGCAAAATGGTCAGAAATCATAAGAGGTAGACATGAGGTCAATCAGTCCATCTTGGCAAAGCAGAAGAGCCTTAAATGGCAATGAACAGCTTTGAATGCTAATGGACTTACACAAAACTTATCTCTTAAGTGTTCATGGCTTCTACAAATTCAATGTGGTCTCAGATCAGTGGAGATGAAACATAAAATTTTGCACTGTTTATTGTTTGCTTACTTTAGAAGCTACTAGCAAAGGACTGTGAACATGTTGTCACTAGGCGCAAGGATCATAAATTATATGATACAGTCGTGATGATTGTTAGTTAGTCCATCTTGGTAAAATAAATTATAAGATACAGTTGTTATGATTGTCATTTAGTCCATCTAGGCAAAGCCAAAGAGCCTTAAATGTGCAATGAACAGCTTTGAATGCTAATGGACTTCCATCAAACAGTCTCTCTTAACTTTTCTGGATTTCACAAATCCAATGGAGTTGCATATCTGTGGAGATGAAACATTTTTTTTTTCTACCCCTTGTTTAATTGATGTGAAGCTTCAAGGAAAGAATTATGAAGGGTCATGACCATGATAAACAGGTGTAATGACTAAAAATATTTGGATGGTAATGGGCTGACATGAAACATTTCCTTTACTGTTCTGGTCTTTCCAAACTTAGTGGAGTCAAAGTTCATGGATTTGAAAATGAAATTTTGATTAACAATAAGCCACAAGTGATGAATTTTATACTTGGAATCTTAGGATGTCCCTGATGGGCAACCTGCAGTAAGATTGCAGGCAAATGAGTAAGATAAAGAGTAACATGAGAACAACTTATATTGTCCCTTTCATTGGTTATAATTGCGCATGTCCAGAGTCTCATACATGGATCTTTCTGGTTTTCGTTCATTGTCAGTGGTTTCTTGCTATAGCTTCTTATACTTATCAGATGTGATATTGTTATTATCTCCGTTTATTTTCTTTATTATGTTTTTTTTTATATTTAAATTATCTGCATTTTTTAGTTCGGATAAGCAATTAAGCAGAAATAGAAGTTTAGTGTAGAGTCCTCATGTGCATTTTTCTGCGGGTTTTATTTTACAGATCTTATGTAACAAGCTATTTCAAAATTTCAAAATTTATGCTTCAAGTACCCAAAAGAAATAATAGTGACCTGCATTTGCTGTGACTCGCATTAACGCTATTAGTTCAATAACAGAAGCCTTATTCCTGGATGTAAGACGAGTAGAAATGGAATGATTGTGAAATCTAAATATCTTTGTTATTCTGATGATCTGCAGCTTTGTTTGTGAATGGAGGTTCTGGAAAAATATATGTCGAGTCCTGCATCAACCACAAAGCATCCTTGAACAGCTTTTTTTCTTACCCAAGTCCAGTAATGTGTTCCGCTTTAAGATGGGGTCTTGATGAATTAGACAGGGAAAGATCCAATGAAACCATCAACTGAAAGGAAGAGGAGAGACATTTACTGGATTGCTGAGAAGAAAATGAGGTATCAAAAGAATTTGCTGTCATCTTTCTTCAATAAATCCTCCCTGTGGAGGATACCAAAATGACTTTGGTGGGAGAGGCATAGACACTCCTTCTAGGTTTGGTCCCTACATGATTACTAGAAGAACAATGCTATTTGGTCCTATTTTTTAAGCCGATATGTGTAGCTGATTGGGTTTTTGTCCCTTTGATGCAATGGATAAACGAAGTGAGGGTTCCATCCACTGCATCAAAGGAATAACCCCTTCGGCTATCCATATCGGTTTGGGAAATCGATTTAAAAATCACTTTCCTTACTAGGACAAAATAGGACAATGCTTGGGTCCTGCCTTAAGAGAACCAACTTGGTCCGCTGAGTTGTCGTGGCCCAATAAAATTTGGACACCTGTCTAAATTAAAAATATTTATATATTATAGATGTGCATTACCCATCTACTTACGGGTTAAATTGAATTTTTTTTTCTTCTTCTGAACCAGCATTGTGACTTTCTCTCTCCACAACAAAACAAATCTTCATACCCAACCTCCATTTGAAACCTTAATCTCCATCCTCAACTGCTTGTCGCCGCCTTCCTCCACTACATGTTATTGCCTCCATTCCCAATCCCTAAGTGTATGGTTTCTTAAGTCTCTGACTTTGCCATGTGTTGATACAAGTCTGAGCACATGAAACCAAATGAAGGCCATTGTAGGACTTGGATTAGTAGTCAGTTTAAGAATAGTCAACTGGACTATATTTTAGTTTATATAGTATAAATGACAAAAGGGTACATGTGAAGAGAAACAAAATGGGTATATATATGAAAGAGGGAGGAATTAGATAACATGTTCATGGTCCAATTACAAAATTTTCCAAAGAACTCGCCAAACAAAAAGGTGAATTTTGAATTATTTTGTGAATTTGGTATTTACTGAAAGGCCACTCCATGTCACATGATTGATGAGATGTCACCAGTTAGGGTTTGGGAATGGAGGTAGCAGCCAACAGTGGAGGAAGGCGGAGGTGAGCAATGGAGGAGTAAGGCAACAGTGAGTAGTGGAGGATGAAGATTAAGGTTTCGGATCAAGGTTGAACGTTGAGATTTGCTTTGCTGTGGAGAGTGAGAGGAAGAGAGAGAGAAGAGAGTCACGATTGTGATTCTGGGGAAAAAAAAGTTTCGGTTTAACCTGTAAGAAGATGGGTAATGCCTATCTTTAATATTTTATTTTTTAAAAATTTTTTTTTTAGAGAGGTCTTTACATTTCACTAGGTCATGTCAGCTGGGAGGACCAATTTAGTTCTCCTAAGGCTGCACCCACGCATTATCCGTCTAAATATTTTTTCCTCACATCCTTGAACTTGGAGTCATGTTATTTGTTCAGATTAATTTTTTTCGGGACTGTGAACATGTTGTCACTAGGCACAAGGATCATAAATTATAAGATACGGTCATGTTGAATTAGTCCTTGGTAAAATAAATTATAAGATACAGTTGTGATGATCGTCAGTTAGTCCATCTTGGCAAAGCCGAAGAGCCTTAAATGGGCAAGGAACAGCTTTGAATGCTAATGGACTTACATCAAACGTCTCTCTTAACTGTTATGGACTTCACAAATCCAGTGGAGTTGCAGATCAGTGGAGATGAAACATTTTTTTTTCTACCCCTTGTCTAATTGATGAGAAGATTCAAGAAAATAATTATGAAGGGTCAGGACTATAATAAACAAGTGTGATGACTAAAAATCTTTGGATGGTAATGGGCTGACAAGAAACATTTCCTTTACTGTTCTGGTCTTCGCAAACTTAGTAGATTCAGAGATCATGGATTTGATAATGAAATTTTGATTAACAAGAAGCTACAAGTGAAGAATTGTATGCTTGGAATCTTAGGATGCCCCTGATGGGCAACCTGCAATAAGATTGCAGGTAAATGAGTAAGACAGACTAAACATGAGAACAACTTATATTGTCCCTTTCATTGGTTCTGATCGCACATGTCCCGAGTCTCATGCATGGATCTTTCTGGTTTTCGTTCACTGTCAGTTGTGATATTGTTATTATCTCCGTTTATTTTCTTTATTATGATTTTTTTTTTTTTTTATATTTAAATTTATCTGCATTTTTTAGTTGGGATAAGCAGTTATAAGCATAAATAGAAGCTATTTTATATTTTCAATATTTATGCTTCAAGTTCCCAAAAGAAATAGTAGTGACCTGCATTTGTTGTGACTCGTATTAACTCTATTAGTTCAATAACAAAACCTTGTGTATTATCTGAAGCTAGCATAATTGTAGCTTAAAATGCAACCTATTACGTAATATTCCATCAGTTTTGAGATTATTTTATTCACCCGTGCCTGGATGTAAGAGAAGTAGAAATGGATTGATTGTGAAATCTTTGTTATTTTGATGATCTGCAGCATTGTTTGTGAGTGGAGGTTCTGTAAAAATATATGGCGAATCCTGCATCAATCGCAAAGCATCCTTGAACAGCTTCTTTTTTTTTTTTTCTTTCCCAAGTCCAGTTATGTGTTCCCCTTTAAGATGGGGTCTTGATGAATTAGACAGGGAAAGATCCAATGAAACCATCAACTGGAAGGGAAGAGGAGAGACATTTACTGGATTGCTGAGAAGAAAATGAGGAATCAAAAGAATTTGCAGTCATCTTTCTTCAATTTCTCCTCACTGTGGAGCATACCAAAATGACTTTGGTGGGAGAGGTATAGGCACCCCTTCTAGGTTTGCCCCCTACATGATTACTAAAAAAACAATGCTATTTGGTCCTATTTTTTAAGCCAATATGTGTAGCTGATTGGGTTTTTGTCCCTTTGATGCAGTGGATAAACCAAGTGAGGGTTCCATCCGCTGCATCAAAGGATTAACTCCTTCGGCTATCCATATTGGTTTGGGAAATCGATTTAAAAATCACTTTCCTTAATAGTAATGGTACTTGCATTAGCTGTTAATGGGTGCCTAAACAGGACAATGCTTGGGTCCTGCCTTAAGAGAACCAACTTGGTTCTCCGAGTTGTCGTGGCCCAATAAAATTTAGAAAAATTAAAGATGGGCATTACCCATCTTCTTACGGGTTAAATTGAAACTTTTTTTTTTCTTTCTTCTAAACCACTATCGTGACTCTCTCTCCATAACGTAGCAATTCTTCATACCCAACCTCCATTCAAAACCCTAATCTCCATCCTCCACTGCTTGGCGATGCCTTCCTCCACTACTTGTTGTTGCCTCCTTTCCCAAACCCAAGTGTATAGTTTCTTAAGTTGCCGACTTTGCCATGCGTTGATTCAAGTTTGAACATATGAAACCAAATGAAGGCCATTGTAGGACTTGGATTATTAGTCGGTTTAAAAATAGTCAGCTGGACTATATTTTAGTTTATATAGTACAAATGGCAAAAGGCTATATGTGAAGAGAAACAAGATGTGTATATATATGACAGAGAGTGGAATTATTAATTCCAAAGAACTGGCCAAACAAAAAGGTGGATTTTGATTGATTTTGTGAATTTGGTATTTGATGAAAGGGCACTCCGGTATCACATGATTGACGAGATGTCACCACTTAGGGTTTGGGAATGGAGGTAGCGGCCATCAGTGGAGGAAGGCAGAGGCGAGCAATGGAGTAGTAAGACAACAATGAGTAGTGGAGGATGAAAAGGATTTTGGATGAGTGTGGAGATTTGCTTTGCTATGGAGAGTGAGAGGAAGAGAGAGAAGAGTCATGATCATGATCCAGGAACCAAGTTAGACAGGTGTAGGTGTTTACATTTCACTGGGCCATGTCAGTTGGGACCAAGTTAGTTCTCAAGGCTGCATCCAAGCACTGTCCGTCTAAATATATTATCCGGACATCCTTAAACTTGGAGTCATGTTCACTACAAGAAATTGGGGATACAAGGTGGTGTTTAATAATTACCAACGTTAGCCCTATTGTAATTGGCGTTCACCATAGGAACGCTGGTATAGCCCTATTTTCCCTCCTTTCTTTCCCTCCGCTGAAATTTTTCTGAAATTTGTTTTTGTGGGAACATTTGGTGCTATAAGATTATTTACTAAACTACGTCGTTTTCCTATTTCTTTTCCACTTTTCCTTCCATTTACTTACATAGTCATTAGAACCACCTAGGGAATATCTACGAGCCCACAACGTTTCTTTGTCCTCCACTCTCTCTCTTTCCTTCGGCCATGAGCGTTGGGATGAAAGGGGACTGATTCTTTTTGGATTTCAGTTTTCAATTGAGAAAGTGGAACAAAGTCTTTCTTCATTCAAACTCTCTCGATTAAGCATTGGGGCACGACTGCCAATTTCTCACCGGATAGCCGCCAATTTCTCACTCTATCGATCACAGGTAAGAGCTCTGCCTAGTTCATATGTGTGTGTGTTTTGCTCGTTTTCTTGTAAATTTATTTATTTGTGTGTGAATATCATATGTGTGTGTGTTTTACTTTCTCTATCCTCTACTCTTTCTCTTTCCTTCAGCCATGTGCACAGGGACGAAAGGGGGCTGATTCTTTCGTCCCTGCGCTCTTGGCCGAAGAGTACTGGAAGAAAGAGATAGAGTAGAGGAGAGAGAAACGTCCAGAAAGAATCAGCCCCATTTCGTCCCTACTCTTGGCCGAAGGAAAGAGAGAGAGTAACGGACAGAGAAACATTGTGAAGGGGCTCGTTAATATATCCTAAGTGGTTTCTAATGACTAAGTAAGTAAATGGAAAAGTGGAAAAGAAATAGGAAAATAACGTAGTTTAGTGAATAATCTGATATCGCCAAATGTTCCAGGAGCGTAGGGATGAAAGAATCAGCCCCCTTTCGTCCCTGCGCTCATGGCCGAAAGAAAGAGAGAGAGAGTAGAGGATAGAGAAATCTAAACACACACGCATGATATTCACACACAAATACATAAATTTACAAGTAAATGAGCAAAACACACACACATATGAACTAGGGCAGAGCTCTTACCTGTGATCGATAGAGTGAGAAATTGGTGGCTATTCGGTGAGAAATTGGCAGTCGTACCCCAATGCTTAATCGAGAGAGTTTGAATGAAGTAAGACTTTAAAAATTGAAATCCAGAAAGAATCAGCCTCCTTTCGTCCCTGCGCTCATGGCCGAAGGAAAGAGAGGGAGTAGAGGACACAAAAATGTTGTGAAGGGGCTCGTTGATATACCTTAGGTGGTTTCTAATGACTATGTAAGTAAGTGGAAAAGAAATAGGAAAACGACGTAATTTAGTGAATAATCTGATAGCGCCAAATATTCCCAAAAAAAAAAAAAAAAAAAAATCAGAAAATTTTCAGCGAAGGGAAGAGGGGGGAAAATAGGGTTATATCAGCGTTCTTGAACGTTGGTGTACACAAATTTCGTAGTCTGCAAATAAAGAACGAAAGAAATTTATTGATTTATGATAAATAAAAGGAATACAATCCTCTGTGATACTCTTTACAAAGAATAAAGTCATTTGATTTGATCTCTTTCGTTGGTATTCAAGGGCTACACGAGTTTGATCTTGAATCACTGTGGAATTTTGATGAAGAACGGTACGATTTAATGTGGTTGTTGCTCTTCGCCTTTAGGTTTGGGTGTTGGGGATGAATGTGGGCAGAGCTTCTGTATTTCTCTCTAAAATTCTGGATTTCTAGAATTCTCAATTTCTGTATCCCTTCCTCCTCCCTCCATGCCTCTATTTATAGGCTTCTTGGATTAATGGGATGATGACACGTGTCATCTCCTGATAAAGACATAATCATAACTGTTTCGGGCCTGTTATATTATGATAATTATCCATAAAAATAATTATTCCAAATATATTTTATTAGAAATAATTATCTTTTTATTTAATCATCTGAGCTGGGCTAATTAAATAATTTAAGTGGACCACGTTTGGGCCAATTAAATATTAGACCCATATTTGATGGGTCAATTTGTCAAAACTAAAGTCCATAAAAATTCTAGTGTCTACAGTTGGTAATTATTAAACAACACCAGCGTTTGGAAAAAGAATGCTGGTGTATCCCAAATTTCTTGTAGTGATGATTTGTTATCTCTCTGGTAGACTTTTTTTTTGACTGGTTGCATTTCCCAATTTTACAGGTTTAATGTTCCTCACGTCCTGCTGGATTATTGTCTTGATCTTAATAAGAGGGTTATGGCGGTAAGTCTTTTTTTTTAATTTAAGTTCTATCAGATTTCAGCTATAAGTGGAGTTATCATGCATATAGAAGCATGTCTGATATGTTGATATGATTGGTTGAATGATTCATAAGTGTAGAATTTATGGTTCTGTAGCAAATTCAATTGATCAGATTTGTCCTCTGTTATCATTTATGCGACGGGGTTGGTTTGTAATTTTTATTAGATGCTTTTGGGCATGTTCAAGATATGATTATCATGGGACGAGCTTACCCAAAGTGATGTTGATTTTCATTCTTTCTCATGCGTGAACTCTGAAATTATTTATATCACATACATTTCTCCTTTTTGTCCCTTGCATTATATTTGTTATTTTTCCCAGATATTAGAATATCAAGGAATAAATTTAGAAGGCCTTTTTATCTTTTTTAATGCCTCAAGGCCTATACCTTGCCTCCATGAATCACTTCATATTATATGCCATTGCTTTTAGTAACATTGAAGTTTGTGTAAAATTGTGTGCTAAGTTATTAAATGCGAATCATGTAACCTTCGCTATATGAATTTTTATTTTATTTTTTTGTGTTTGTGTGTTGCTTCATTGGGTGCAACGGTCATAAAATAGTTCATAAGATACAAGTGTGATGATGGTGAGTCAGTCCATCTTGGCAAAGCCGAAGAGTCTAAATAGGCAATGAACAGCTTTGAATGCTAATGGACTTGCATCAAATTTCTCTCCTACAATTATAACTGTTATGGGCTCCTCAAAACCAATGGAGCCACAGATTAGTGGAGATGAAACATGAAATTTTGCTGTATGAAACATAAACTTGTCGGACGTTTGTTTGCACAAGGGTCAGAAATAATATGACGTGGGCATGAGATTGCCAATCAGTCCATCCTGGCAAAGCAAAAGAGCTTGAATGGGCAATGGACAACTTTGAACGCTAATGGATTTACCCGAAACGTTAGGCATGAGATTGTCAATCAGTCCATCTTGGCAAAGTAGAAGAGCCTTAAATGGGCAATGAACAACTTTGAATGCTAATGGACTTGCACAAAACGTCTCTCTTAACTGTTCTGGGCTTAGAAAGTCAATGAAGTTGCAGATCAGTGGAAATGAAACATGAAATTTTGTAGTCATCTTTTCCACAACCATAACTCAGATTTGATAATTCACCATAAATCAAATACTTCATATAAAATAATAAAATAAAATTATAGATAAACCTTTATAGCTCTGATTTCAGCCCTTAAAATTAAAATATAGTTTGGGAATGAATTATCCAAAGATACTGTCATCCACAAAATTTTCTGCGATAACCGTTTGTCTTTATAAATTCATAGAAATTGGTGCCTACTTGGAACTGAAAATCAGAAAACTGTACAAAAACATGCTTGGTTGGCAGTTTTTGAGAACTATTTTCTGAAAAGTCGGTTAAAAAAAGTTCCATTTCTAGAGAATTGTCTTTTATAGTAATCTAAAAACATTTCTATTTTCTCAGTTCTTGACAACTGTATTTTGAGTAACAAACCAAGTAGACCCTACAATTCTTACTCAAATTATGTGAACCTAGTACCGATTGAAAGCCAACACACTGTATTTTAATCCTAACATTTTATCAAAATAGATAAATTGATCAAACAATTTAGTTTTGAAGGCTGCACATATGTTTTACATATCAAAGAAAAATTTTCTTTGAAAATTCACCAAAATTAGTGTACTAGTCCAATTTACATGAAGTTAAAACCTTCTGGAAGCTAATACTGTTGTGTGAAACAATTTCCACTCCAACTTCATGCATAATATTCATAAAGAATTCGAAACTTAACAAATTTAAGTCAAATAAAGTCTCACAATCTCATCAGCTAATGTACTTTAATATCTCAAAATTTTTAATGGCATGTAACAATTCTAAGGTAAATAAAATTAGCCTAGTCCATAGTGCTCAGTTCAAATTTCCATCACTAGTGTTGAGGATCTTCGTTAAGCCCCGTTTGGCATGCGTTTTGTTTCTGCTGTTTTTGTTTTTGGGCTGTTATGGTGTCGATTTTGGCAACAAAAGTATGTTTGGTGCAGCCTTGTTTTATTTTACACAGTACTAAAACACTTCGTGAACAGTGGCCCAAAACCAAAACACCAAAAAGAAGAGTCTCTTCATCATGATTTTGCCTCTGATTTCAGTTTTGTTTTAGCTGTTTTATTTTTCTTCTTCCAATTTGTTTTTGTGGTCTGTGATATTTGTCTTCTTCATCTCTAACGTTATATTTTTTCTTTCAAAGAATCAATTTGTCCAAGTTCTTACGATCTTGGAATGGTCCAATCTGTGGGAACCGAACGGATTCAATCCGTTATTTCACGGTTCGGTTTGGATTGAGACATCCCATAGTTCAGTTCAGTTTTAGATTTAACCAATCCGTGGGGACCGGATTGGATTGAATTTTACACCTAATCTGAACTGATCTGAACCGTGGTCAGCCCTAGTCCTAGTACACAACTCAAATACCCAACTCATCAATATAATCCCAAATACCAGTTGAGTTAAAATTTAAACATTCTACAACCCCAAGTAAATATAAATATATAGAACCTTAGTTATTGCATGCCCAAATATCAATCATGTTCTAAATCAAAAATTAATCCAATAAACATAATTAATCTAATCTTCTAAATAAACTCACAATAGAAAAATAAATTCATTAATTACATGTTTTGAGCAAAATAAAACCTAATAACTAAAACTTCAATAGGCACTAGCAGCAGTCATCTTTAAGAAATTATAATTGGCTCTAGTGCCATCTCCCTCGTATGCAAAAGATTTAGGGGAGTGGGGCAGAAATTTATGATGTGCCGTAGGGAAAAAGAGGATAAAATTATGTTAGCAAATAATGACAATAATATCAATATAACAAATTTAGGATTCAATTCACAGTTATGCTGGATATCATACAATATCGCTTCTATTTCTACAAAATCCAAAATTTATTCAAGCACTTTCCAAAACACAAATCATATCTTGTTATCACACACCAGGGCCTTGTCTATATTGTTGTCCTCCGCTTGCCCACAAGCAAGCCTTGTAACACAACCTTCGAATTTATGATGTGGAATGGGCAATTGCAATAAAGTTGTAGCCTTGTAGGTATATGAGCAAGATACTACAATGACAAATACTAGTGGTGACAATTGGGTGGGTTTGGGCAGGTTATGTACGGGTGGGTTAGTAACAACCTGGTATCAACCCATTGATGGCGGATCATAAACGGGTTGGGTGTTAAGTGGATAAGTCAACCCGCACCCAACCCGATGACCCGATTTTTTTGGGACACAAATTGTCAAGGAAAAAAATAGTATTGTTATTTTTAGAACAGTTCCTATAAATGAAAATACACACCATATATATTTCCCGAAAGGCCACGCGTTTAAACTACTTTTTAACGGAGAGAGAGGATGGAGGAGAGAGTTACCACCAAAAAAAAGAAAAAAGAAGAAGAAGAAGAAGAGAACGGGGGAGGGAGAGTGAAGTTGGATAGTAGTGGGGTAATTATTATTGTGTGTTTTTTGTCTTTTCGCCGGGGGGGGGGGGGGGGGTGGTGGTGTAAAATATCCACTAACAACGTGTAAATATATTATGTTTTAACGATTGATCCGTTAGTGACCTGCTCAAGTAAACTACTCACCCAATAATCATTAATTATTGGACAGATTTGGGCGGATTATTGAGTTTGGGTATATTTTTCCAGCCAACTAGGGCAAAGCTTTTACACTGCCCCTTTCTTTATATTGCTCATGGGAGTATCATGCATGAAATCTTCTAGTTTTCATTCATTGTCAGCGGTTTCTTGCTGTATTACTTGTCATACTTGGTTGTGGTATTGTTATTATGTCCTTAATTTTTTTCCTTTTTACTTTTGGTTGGGATAAACAACCAAGCAGAAATAAAAGTTTGGCGTGGAGTCATCATGTGCATTTTTTTGCTGTTTCAATTTCATATAACCTTATATAACAAGCTCCTGTGACTTGTATTAACTGAATCAATTCAATAACAGAAGCTTTAATCTATTATCTGAAACTAGCATAATTGTGGCTTAAAATGGAACCAATCACATAATATTGCGTCAGCTCTGAGCATCTCTTACTAAACCATTCCCGGATGTAAGAGAAGTAGAAATGGATTGATTCTGGAATCTAAATATCTTTGTTATTCTGATGATCTGCAGCATTGTTTGTGAATGGAGGTGCTTAAAAATATGTGGCTCTTTTCTTTCCCAATTCCCGTTAGGTGTTCTTCTATAAGATGGGGTCTCGACGAATTAGACGGGAGAGATCCAATGAAAACCATCAACTAAAATGAAGAGAGAGATCTACCAGGAAGAAAATGAGGAATCAGAAAGAATTTGCAGTCATCTCCTCCCCATGGAGCATACCAGAATGGCTTTGGTGGGAGAGGAATAGATACCCCCTCTAGGTTTACTCCCTACACGATTACTAGAAATGGTGCTTTGCATCAGCTGTTAATGAGTGTCTTGATACATTGTCCTGACTGACATTCGAAGAACTTGGATTCATGCTGTTTGTCCAGATTTTTTATTTTATTTTTTTATTGGAGAGGCTTTTGAATGGGTGTCAACTGTTGGAACTTGGAAGGTGGACTAAACAGCTGTATTGTCATTTTTTTCTCTTTGAAAATAGAAAGATGCATTTGACGCTGAACTTCTACATTGCTCTGTTTTCCAGTTGTGATTGGTAAATGGCATTATGGTAGGTGGTTCTGCTTCCCGAGTGGGTGTGCCTGCATGTGTTCAAAGTCCACCCTAGTTTGTCGGGATTAAAAAAAAAAAAAAAAATTGTTGACTGGTTAAAGTCCATTTGATGCATCATAATGGTTCCATTTTTTTTTTTTTTTTTTCCCAATATTCATACTCTGAATCTGTTGTCCTCAAAAAGTAATCAGCGTTTTGATTTCGATTTCGAATTGAAAGAAATTTAGATAAAATTTTAAATTAATTTTTCTTTCAATCTCAAATCTGTCAGTGCGGAACATTACAGTTCACCTGAGAAATTCCTATAAAAATAATAATAATAAAATAAAATAAAATAAATAGAGTGTAAGGTTACAAAAGTGGATTGATGATTGAGACTAAATAATAACTAGATATGAACGGTGGTACTAGTAAGAGAAATCAAATAATGTTCATATAAGACTAAAGTTTCATATAAGACCAAAGTAATGATGAAATTTCTTCATTGTTCAGTCTTTGAAATCTTCTCCGCAGCCAGAGAAAAATCTCCCACCCTTCCCTAACTGTTAATATTTATTATTATTATTGTTTTTGTAGTCCAATTTTAATTTTTTTAAAATTATTGCAAACCGATACCATATATAACTACGTAAATATATAATTAGATATGACAATTGGATATGATTTAAGTGCAAATTACTTTTTTTTAAAATCAATTATATTAAATGATTATTATAATTAGTGTGGTTAAATTTCTTGGTCAGCATACAAAAAAAATCACTTCACGATTTCCGAATGTATAATTCTGGGAACAATATACTATTGAGCATGGAATTACACATATATAAGTAATAAATATAATTCTGTAAAATTAAATCAATAATAAAGTATGTTATTACGTGACGGGGGTGGAGCCGAGACCCGTGATTGGTGATAACAAGTGGGCAAAGAATGGCAACGGTTTAGGACGGCACACCGGCGGCTTTTTAAGTCTGCCTCCAGGGAATCCAATCAAGACTTGCCACGTCATTAACGAGTTTAACAGTTTCGTAAAATGGGACATCAATCGAGGCTAAAATAGGAAATCGGAAAAAAGTCAATAAAACCCTTTCCACGTCTCCAACTCCCATTCCAACCGATAGAATAGTCAGTCCAAGCCAAGGCCCCCCCTCCCTCCCTCCCTCCCTCTATCTAAAACTGTCACGCACGACGCAACTCTCTCTCTCTCTAGAATTGCCAGCACGACGCAACTCTCTCTCTCTTTCTCTCTCTACACTGCGAATGAGAGGGCGTATCTACCTCATCGTCGCATTTCTTCTTCTCGGAGCTCTGCGCCCAAGCTCCGGCAATGGCGGCGAGTTCACCGGAGGCTTCGCGAAGCTCTCCGGCATCATAATTCCAGGATTCGCGTCGACTCAGCTCAGAGCGTGGTCAATATTGGACTGTCCTTACTCGCCGCTCGATTTCAACCCTCTCGATTTGGTCTGGCTCGACACAACCAAAGTAAAAAACTGAAAATCCACTTCCTCTCCTCTTTTTTCAATCACTTACATTTTCATTTCATGCTAGTTTTTGTTTTGTTTTCAGCTTTTTTAATACTGATTATTGTTCCACATGTTCGTTCTCTTCTTGCTCTTTCAATTCTCTTATTTTATTCCAGATGTTGTAAGTGTTTGTTTAACTGATTTAGTTAACGCATTATGGGCCAATTAGAATTTTATTCAACTCTGTTTCAGCGACGATTCTATTATGTGTGTGCGCGCGCTCTCATACTTGTCAGCTACAATTGCTAGTATAAATTACAAACTTTCTTTGTTGCTCATACATTTTATTTTATTTTATTTTATTATTATTATTTTTGGATGTATTAGAAAACCTACTTCACTTGTATCACCAGTATCTTACTTCAATACTACTATGGTCCCACACATGGGAATTCTTGTGGTGATAACTCTAGTTGATAACTTAGAATTTTTGCCACTTCAATTTTAACTTTCGTGTAATGATAATGAGAAATGTAGAAACAAATCGAATCCTGTATTCATAAAAGTTAGGGTCCAACTATTATATCCAGCAATATAAATTTTGATTTTGTGCTCATTTTATCCATAATATCATGAATGTAATCACTGATTTGGGCTTAGGGTTGGATAGACATTGTTTCATGTTCAAAAACTTAAATTATTTTCTATTGACTCATAATATGTTTTAAATTTGCATTGGAATCCTCTGTTTTTTTATTTTTTTGGGGGGGGGGGGGGGGGGGGGAAGAAAAAAAATTGCAAAACCACCGTTTGTAAACTTATAAGAAAAAACTTACCGTTTGTCCAACCAAAAGAAAAGAAATTGAAACTTCGGGACAGTTTTGTAACTGTGACGGACACGTGTCCAACATGACCACGACACCCCTTGGAGGAGTATCCATGCTCTCTCTCTCTCTCTCTATAATTTCATTTCCCACACAACCACCACCTAAAAGTCAACAAGCCAACCCTCTCCCACTCCCATTTCTACCTCAATGTCCAGATGAACATCTCCTACTTCTTAATTATATATATATATATATATAGTTACTTATATCTTTTTAAACCTTGTATGAAGTGTATTTTTTCATATTGCTGATTATGATCCAATACCCCTTGATCGAGCCAGTATTTGGTCTCCGAGAACAATTGATTTCACAACTGTGAATCATGTTGTGGAGTGGCTTATTCCGATTAACTATTCATAGTGCTTCATTCCACTTGTGCTGGCCTCCATTACATTGTAAAATTTGTCCTTGTATTTACTCTCCCTCTCGTTTTTTTTCTTATTTCCTTCTTTCTTTCTCGGAAGGTAAATTTGTGCTTGTCTTGAGCAACACATTATTGTCAATATGATTTACAAAAGATCACTCCATCTATCATGCAGCTTCTTTCTGCTGTGAATTGCTGGCTTAAGTGTATGTTGCTAGACCCTTACAATCAAACTGATCACCCTGAATGCAAGTCCCGCCCTGATAGTGGTCTTTCCGCAATCACAGAGCTTGATCCAGGTTACATAACAGGTATTCATATAATGTTCTTATCTACATTCATTTATTTTTATGCTTTATAATGACCTTTGAGTATGTACTAGAGCATGTATACACAGACATATATGTTATTTGGGTTCCATATAGGTATACAGTCAAATACACTCAGGGTAATTATTCTCATATACAAGAAGAGTACAAATCATTTAATAAGAAATAGACTAATGACTAACTTCGGTGGTAAAGCTTTCTCTTTCGAAACGAATTTACATGATATTTAAGCTATATATTGACTTTATTTTGATGAATGAAACGACTAACTTATTTTCTCATTGCATTGGTTACATTCCCCTGAAAAATAATGCATGGTCTTCAGGTCCTCTTTCATCAGTGTGGAAAGAATGGATTAAGTGGTGCGTTGAGTTTGGTATTGAGGCTAATGCAATCATTGCTGTTCCCTATGATTGGAGATTGTCACCGTCAAAGCTTGAGGAGAGAGACCTTTACTTTCACAAACTAAAGTTCGTAATCTTGTATATCTCTCATGAATTATACTTTTACTGGCCATGAGTGCCTATTTATTGATAGACTGCTTTTGTTACATTAACTTTCAGAATAACTTCAGTAAGGTTGACAACCCCAAAAATATTGTTTTATCACCACTAAGGGTTGAGGAGCGAGACTATACTTTCACAAGTTAAATTTTGTATATGCATTGCATACCTATCACACATTCTAATTTTACTAGCTATGGCGCATATTTCTAGGTATACTGTTAGTATGTCTCCTTACAGAGTAGCTCTTGTACAAGGTTGACAACCTGAAGTAGTTATGTTTCCTTTTCATGAGAGTTCGGTTCAGCAACTTTTCTAATAAGCAGTTCTACAAAGAATTAGCATCTCCAAACTGGAAGAGAACAAATGTATAATGTCTAGAATGTTTGTGTCAGTGCAGTGAGATTATTTCCGCAGGTTGATAACTAAGACTCTGTAATGCATAATGATATGTTACAGTTAAATTGGGAACTGCCTTGTCTTTTCTTTGGACCTGGGAAAAATTGATAGAAGTTACGAAATAATTCACAGTCAACTCTGTTCAGATTGTAGATGTTTGTGGTCTTTTCTTACAGGACCTTCTTTTCTTGTGCTTCCCCATCATGAGCTTGGCTCTATCAGAATATTGGTTGGTTTCAGCAGGCAGATTTTTCCTCTCCAATAAGACCTTTTCGTGTTTTTGGTTGTCACTGCAGGCTGACTTTTGAAACTGCCCTTAAACTTCGTGGTGGCCCCTCAGTAGTGTTTGCCCATTCACTAGGAAACAATGTGTTCCGCTACTTTTTAGAGTGGTTGAAGCTAGAAATTCCACCAAAACATTATATCCGGTGGCTAGATGAACACATTCATGCTTACTTTGCCGTTGGTATGCTTGCAACACTTTAAACTTCATTTTAATTTTCCAAGCAGAGTTGGGAAAGGGTTTATTTGAAACTTCGTTTGTTGTTTGCTTTCAGGAGCTCCTCTACTTGGTTCAATTGAGACAATCGAAGCAACACTCTCTGGATTTACATTTGGTCTTCCTGTCTCTGAGGTTTCTATATTTTTCTTTCTGATTTTATATTTGTATTGATGTTATTTTACGGCCCTTCTCCTTTTGTTTCTACTCATGTCATCTTTCTTTTTCTTTTTTCATTTTTTTTTTTTTTTTAATAAGTTGCTCATGTCGTCTTTCATATGGATTGTATTGCCTATTTAACACATTTAGCTTTATTTAGTCCAAGCTGAAGCTATTTGGATAGCTGATCCTGATTAAATAGGCTGGTTCTACTACATCTAGTGCCATAGAAGGATTTTAAATTTAAATTTCAAAAGTTCATTGTGGGAGAATTTGTTGAATTAGAACATTCAAAATATATATTTTTTTCACTCAGACATGCTAAATTTGTCAATGCCCTTGAGTCACATAAGGTTTGTGTTTGGAAACATTTGGGATTAGATTGGAAGACTCATTCTATCTTCATCCACAAGGTGATGTTTGCCCCTTCCCTAACTGAGCAACACTAACATTGACACCGCACACGAACACTATAGGACACAGACAAGTTGTTCATGTCAAATTTTGAAAAAGTAGAATACAGATGCAGTGTGGACGCAACAATATTTAAATATAAATGTTATTTATATACAAATATTTTATTCCATTTAGGTTCATATTATTCATTATCAAGGAGAAATTGAAGATGATGTTACTCATAGAATCAAGGCAGAATGGGTTAAATGGAGAGGTGGTCTAGTATATTGTTTGATTGGTGTATCCCGTTAAGATTGAAAGGAAGTTCTATTAAATAGCTATTAGACCAATTGTTTTTTATGGGACAAAATGTTGTACAACTAAGAAACAACATATGCATAAAGTGAGTGTGGCAAGACAACAAAGTATAGAACTAAAATTGAGCACATTCATGAAATGGTTGAAGTAGCACTAATCGGAGATAAAATAAGAGAAAAATCGATTAAGATGGTTTGGATATGTACAGGAAAAATCCTAAATTGGGGAAGATCGAAGTTAACGTGGGTAGAGTGTTTTTTATTTATTTGTTAAGTTTAAAAAGAAGTTAATGGGTAAAGTTAGTAACGAAGTATATAGTAAACATGTGATTTTGACTGAGGTTATGGCCTTGGATAGAACGGAATTGAAAAAGAAGATTCATGTAGTCAACTCCAAGTAGTTGGAAAAAGGACTTTATTAATAGAGTTGGGTTGAGTACAAATATTTCATTTTATAAACAACTATAGAACTTCGATTGATTTTCTGGTTCCACAATGAGAATTACATAATGTGAAAAGCAAATGTTCATATAGATTGTTATTTTATATATACTACTTATACTACTATTCTCCTATTATTATTTTTAAGTACAATTATATTCTTGTTGTATAATAAAAAGTATCTATGCACGAATGGGCCATTAGTCCAATGGTGTAACCTCTCCTCCATCAAAGGGGAGGTGAGGGGTTCAAGCCCCGTGGGCAATTATTGAAATATGTGTGTGAGTAGTTACCTAATCAAAAAGAAGAAAAGAGTATTTATGCATATGATTTGTGATGACCATATGTCATTTATTGCTTTATTAAGGTTAGGCACTTTTTTTTTATTATCATATAACTCCCTTTACAATGTGTTTGTGCCACATAAGGTTTGTGTGGAGGAGCGTCTAGGATGTGTAGTTTAAATGTCTGAATAATAAAATTCATTTTTGAATTACAAACATGTTTATAAGGTGTCAAACAGGTGTCTAGAAGTGCTACAGATTGTCGGTGTCCAACACATGTCCGTTACGGAGGCAACGCCTTCATAGAAGTGTCCAAGTTTCTTAACCCTCCATCCCCATAAATAAAACTAGTAGAACACACAAATATTCCATGGTTCAGCACTAAGGCCTACATCCACGGCACAAAGAGCCCAAAGGCTACATCACTTTTATAATACTCTCTCAATTCATATATAATACAATGGTGGAGGCTCCTTTATATAGGAGAAGAAATTATGAGAATGGAAAGAATTAGAAAATAGGAAACAAGGAGGATTTTTCTTCACTGATTTCTCTAGTAATACCAAATCTTCAATAATAGGAAACAATATCAATTGCTGAAAGATTTTCCTCCACTGATTACTCCATTAAATCTTCAATATTAAGCATCCTTAATATAGTCAATCACACAAAGAAAAGTTGCTAGCAGCTACAGATCGCCATTTCACATGTCTAATGATATTATTTACTGGCAAGTTACTTATTAAATTTGACATTTATTTCGATTCCTGTTTAAGCTAGCTTCTTTTGCTTGAGTAAACAATTGTCAGGTCCAATATCAAATCTATGAATTCACTTATCTTACAAGGGACCATTTTGATAAGCTAATTGACTATTTTGCTAGCAAGTAGTCTGTCACATACTAATTTTCTTTTGAATTTTAAATTTTTATACCAACCACCAACGGCTGTAGCCTAGTGGTACTTCCTCACCTTCAAAGCAGAAGGTCGTTCAAGTCCACATAGGGGCAGAGTGTGTGTGAGAGTTTCAAATAGGGAAAAAGCAAAAACAAAAAAATTGTTTATACCAGTACACTTGTTCCTGAATATGTGAAACCCAATAATTGCACACTGGCCTTCCTTGCCATCGTCATTTATGTTAGTAAATTTCTATTGAATACTTACATTATTTGTAAGTACACTCACCCTACCCAGACACAATATTGTCCGCTTTCGACTCCCCCGAACGAGAGACTTCCCAAAGGGTCACCCATCCTGGTACTACTCCAGGTTAAGCACACTTAACCCTGGAGTTCTAGTAGGTTCACAGCCATCACGGCTTTAAAACTCATTGTGTCATAGAAGGGTGTTGAATCTACATATAGCACTTGTTTTTCCACACCCAGGCAATGTGGGATTGTGCACCTGTAGCTCACCCAGTGTGGTGGCCTGCCAGTGCCTCGCACCCGCCCACAGGTATCCACAATCTCCCCCCCCCCCCCGGGGGGGGCCCAAAGTCCTCGTTGGCCACACTTCCCGGTTGGGTCAGACTTTGATACCATTTGTAACGACCCTCACCTTACCCAGACAAAATATTGTCCGTTTTTGGCTCCCTCAAACCAGAGACTTCCCAGGGGGTCACACATCCTGATATTACTCCAGGTTAAGCACGCTTAACCCTAGAGTTCTGGTAGGTTCACGGCTTAAAAACACGTTGTGTCATAGAAGGGTGTTGAATCTACATATAGCACTTTCCTTTTCCACACCCAGGCGATGTGGGATTGTGCACCCATAGCTTGCCCAGTGTGGTAGCCTACCAGTGACTCGCACTCGCCCACATAGGTCGCCACATTATTCATATACAATTCTGCATTGCTTATAGACTGAAAAATTTGAGCAAATTATTTCGAAGTGTTTCCAAATATCTCCAAATTAAATGAATTTGAGCAAATTATGTCAAAGTGTTTCCATATATCTGCAAATTATACTTTTTAAATTTTAATCACAGTGATGCTTTAGAGAAGCATTTAATGTTTTATGATAATTTGTTCTGAAAAATCATATAATTTGATTTGACACAAGTTATCGTAGCTTGTTGGAGTGCTTGACCGATGCTGCCGGATGCCTGTATTAACTCATGTTTATCATACGTTTTGGCAAGATATCAGGGAACAGCTCGGTTGATGTTCAATTCATTTGGCTCTTCACCATGGATGATGCCATTTTCAAAGTATTGTAAGACAGATAATGCATATTGGAAGCATTTTTCTAGTGGGAACAAAAAGGGTCATCATGTATACCATTGTGATGAACGTGAGTATCAGTCAAACTATTCTGGTTGGCCAACAAATATAATCAATATCGAAATTCCGTCAACCCGAGGTAGGATTTTAAAGCCATGTTCATATCTTAAGGCGATGACGTTTAATTATTCTCATAAGCTCATTATCTTGTATTAGCAGGAGTTGATGCTTATCCATCATTCCTAGAAGTAGCGGAGACCAACATGTCTAGCATGGAATGGGGATTCCCAACTCAGTTATCCTTTTCTGCTCGTGAAGTATCAGATGGGACCTTTTTCAAAGCAATAGAGGAGTATGATCCTGATATCAAAAGGCTCTTGTACCTATTAGAGAAGTGAGTACCAAGGAATTGCTTTGCTTCATATAGCATTTTGCTTTTATTGTGCAAATATTCTAACAAGGAATGCAGTACTAATGTAATCTTCTCCTTGTTTCTTCTCTTGGGATTGCAACAGAATCCACCCTACAGTTTGAAACTATTTCTCTTTAACCTTCCATAACTCCAGCTTCTTTTCTAGTGGAAGCAAGAACTTTATTGCTATGCTACATTTAGCATTTGTGGTTTCATCATGCAAACTTCCTAACATGCAATGCAATCATCATCATCATCATCCTTGCTTTAATCCCATATGAATGGGGTCGGCCACATGAATTCTCTTTTTCCATTTTTTTCTGTTACAACCCATCTCTTCTCTAATATTTAACTTTTTAAAATCATTTATAATAATTTCATTCCATGTTAATTTCAGACGCCCTCACTGTCTCCTACCCCACATGCAAATTATCCTTCCTCTTCTCACCGGTGCATCTAATTGTCTACTATGTATATGTCCATACCACCTAAGTCTAGTCTCTCTCATCCTATCACTAATAGGTGCTACACCTAGTTTCTCCCTCACATATTGGTTTGAAACCCTATATTTTCTAGTCACTCCAATCATCCATCTTAACATCCCCATTTCCGCTACATGAATTCGTTGCTCTTGCTTCTTTTTTAACGCCCAACACTCTGCGCCATATAAAGTAGTTGGCCTAATAACTGATCTGTAAAATATTCCTTTAAGTTTATATGGTATGTTTTTTGTCACACAAAAAACCTCTAGTTTGCCTCCATTTTGTCCAACCTGCCTATCCCATTAGTTATATCACCATCCATCTCACCATTCTTTTGGTGTGTGCTTTTTTGTCTATGTAGGCTAGTCAGAATGAAAATTTCTATTATTTCTTGCTTATTTTTCTTGAATATCTTGTTGACTTAAGTGGCACCACTTTTTGTTACTACTTCCCAATTATGCTTCAAATGATTTGTATTTCAGTTCGTATCATGGCGACCCGGTTCTAAACCCTCTGACTCCTTGGGAGAGACCACCGCTAAAGAACATCTTTTGTATATATGGAATAGATTCGAAAACCGAGGTATATACGGATCCTAGCGAATTTTGCCTTCAAAATGCCATGACTGTAACGATAATAGATGCTTTCAGACTACCATTTTTTATTAACTGTTTCTTTAGTATAGTATGACATGAATTTGGAATCATTATTCATTATGCGCTGGCTTCAAAGAGGATTTTCCATTTTAGAACGCTAGAACTTATTGCCATTAAATTTTTTATTTTTTATTTTTGTTTTATCAGTCCAGTGATGCACACTGGTGTTTAGCCAACATTAACTTCAAGGTTGTTGAACAACAAACTTACCATTTCTTTATGCTACATGTTGAACTTTTCTGATGTAATTTTAAACAGAAATCACTTGCTCTGCAGATATAGATGTTGGACTGAAGTTGTCATTATAAAATTATAAATCCTTCCACTCACTAATTCGTACAGTGATTTTATTTTTTTTATTTTTATTTTTTATAAGTATTTCGTATAGTGATTATATCTATCCATGATCCATATCAATTGCAAAGGGTAGGATGTGTTTGAATGTTGGCTTTCCTTGTGCTCAGCATTTGTATGATCCATTTGGAGAATATGCCATAAGGACATTTTCTTAACTTGAGTGCTCTCTGTACTTAATCCACATGAAGCCTTTATCCCACTCTTTCAACTAAATTCCCATGAAAATTACGTTAAGGATATATGAGAAGTTTGTAGGCGTGTTTTGTGGTGATATGTTAAACAGACAACCTTACTCCGCCTGATCTTCGAATTCCGACATATCCTTCTATCTATATAATATTCTGAAAAAATATAACCTGCTATTAATGTCACTCATTAATGGTGGGTTGTCATGATTTGTCTTAATTTACAGGTTTGACCATTCTGCACTTAGATTACTTGTTTTGGTATAAGTAGTTTTTTGAACAGAAATTTCTGTGCCTTAATTCAGATTCCATGCTTATCATGGCTGTAAAATTTTAGTTCATTCTGTCACTGAACAAAAAGTTTGGCTCTCACATTGTCTACACAAGCTTCAGGATGTGCTTAAAAGCTAACTATGGCTGTTGACTAGATGGCTAAATCTTCTCTTTAAAGAGTAGTTGGCTGTTGTGTTATTTTGATTAAACTAAATGGGCTGGCACCCGTTCTGCATGCAGTTCTTTTTGGACTTGCTTTGTTGCCAAACAATGACCCAATGGAGGAGGGAGGGGGGTTGAATTGGGTCTTTTGGCAAACTATAGTAGTTTTTCGATTTTTCTCAACACACTTGGCAAGCAAGTGAATATTGCAAGAGTTAGAACAATAGTGATGCAAAACTCAAAGATAAAGAAATAGGGTTAGAGAAATGCAAACACAAGGACACCGAGTTGAATTGAGTCTTTTAGCAAACTATAGTAGTTTTGCGATTTTTCTCAACACACTCGGCGAGCAAGTGAATATTGCAAAAGTAAGAACAATAGTGAATGCAAAACTCAAAGTTAAAGAGATAGGGTTAGAGAAATGCAAACCGAACACCAAATCTTTATGTTGCTCAGCTCCCCCGCCTACATCCACGCCTTAAGAATGCCTCTTGAGGATTCCCAAAATCCACTATCTCATTCTCCTTCACAGGTGGAAAGAAAACCTTTATAGAGCTCCTTGAGATTCTCTCTTTGCTAAGTGAGCGCCTCACCTAGACTTCAAGGGTTACACTAATGCTTTTAGAACAATCTCAAAAATGATATGAGTTTGAGTACAACAATGAATGTCCTTCAATGGACTGATTACAACTCAAAGCTCACTACAATGATCCCTCAATGGATAGATATACAAATCAAAGCACTCTCTCTAGAGTAATAGATGTAGTAAGTGATGAAAGCTCAGCTCTAGAGGAAAATGACAAAGATCTCTAAGATTTGCAAACATGATGTAAGAGATCTAAGAATTAGCAAGAGGTTTGCCCAAATGAGTAAAACTTTGAAGAATATACAAGAGCTATGTGCAAAAGTTGCTCAAAAAGGGCAAGGGACCTTCTATTTATAGCCTCATTGGGAAATGTATCTGTTGGAGTACTTTAAGAGGCTATATGGAAACAAGTTTAAAAAATCATGTCATGTAGACTTCTAGAAGTATTCATGTGGATGTTTAGTCCTCTTTGTATCACTTTCAGCACTGGCTGGTCCGTATGCATGTAGACTTGAAATATAACATCAAGACATCTAGTTTCGGATTCACCTTTTTGATGTAGATGTCTAGTCCTAAAGCTCTAAGAATTGTGCACTTGCAGTCCATTTGCAGGACATGCAAGGTTAGACGTCTAGAAGGAACCATATAGACATCTACTTGGCAATTTCCTGAACTTCTGCCCTTGCAGTCCTTTGCAAATTCATTAAGAGATAGACATCTATAGCTATGCATGTAGACGTCTATAAGGCCAATTCCTGGAACTCAGCAATTGTAGTACTTTGGACCTTTCATTAAGGTGTAGACGTCTACAGAGAATCATCTAGACGTGTAGTCACTCTGGAAAAAAGTAATTTGAAAAAATTTAAGTGTTGAAGTGACACCACGTAGGCTAAATGACTCTTTTCCCACATAAATAGGTTATTATCATCAAAATTACCAAGTTACCCTTGGTGTGAAACAGGGGCGGACCTTTCTAGGGTCCAAGGGGGACCATGGCCCTCCCAATTTTTTTCAAAACTAGTATATATAACTTGTGTGCTAAACTGCTAATTAGTTTGGCCCCCCCAAAATAAAGAATTGACTTTTACCCATCAAATAGCACAACTTTTCAATAACAATTACAAATATTTATAAAAATTTGTGATCCCTTGCCCCTCTGTTCATCAATCAGCACATATGTTCAATTCATTTTTGTTGTCCCCTCTCTTTTATTCAATCAACAACGCTAATAACAATAATCAAGTTAGTCTTTACCATACTGATTCTTCCCAAAACCACCCTAGCTGCTTGTTTATCTTTCATTTCCTATCTCTTTTTCTAATTATTCTACCTTTCATTTCCTATCTCTTTTTCTAATTATTCTACCTTTCATTTCCTATATCTTTTTTCTAATTATTCTACTATTTTTTTTTACCTTTCTTCCTCTTATTCTTTCCAAAAATTCTTGTCTCTCTCTAATTGATTCCATTTTTCCCCTCTGTCACACACTTCTTTTCCTCCTCTCTTCACCCTAGCTGCTAGTTTATCTTTCATTTCCTATCTCTTTTTCTAATTATTCTACCTTTCATTTCCTCTCTTTTTCAAATTATTCTACCTTTCATTTCCTATATCTTTTTCTAATTATTCTACTATTTTTTTTTTTTTTTTTTACCTTTCTTCCTCTTATTCTTTCCAGAAATTCTTGCCTCTCTCTAATTGATTCTTTTTTTCCCCTGTCACACACTTCTTTTCCTCCTCTCTTTTTCTTTTTCTTTAAAATTTTTCTTCTTCTCTTTTTCCTCCTCTTCTTGCATCAGTCTTTTTTTCCTATTTTCTTTGTCTCCTAGGAACTAGGACGATCAGCAAGTGTCTTCTGATGCTTCTTCAATTTAATCTTTTTATTGCAACATTGACTCATTGAGCTTTGAATTTAATAGTATCACCTTCTTTTTTATCATCATGATTGTTTCATTTTGTTCAAACCTATGTCACAACCCACTAGATTTACCACAAAGTTCAAATTCTTTTGTCTATTTTTGTTCATACTTGGGATGTATTTTCTTATGAACTTAATGGATTGTGAAATACTTTTGGTTTATAAACATCTTAGGTTATTTTTATATCAATAATATATATAAGACTATTGAATGAAAAATCTAAGATTACAATATTTTTTTGAAAAAACTATATTGCAGTACTAGTTCAGCCCCCAAGTTGGAATTCCTGGGTCCACCCCTGGTGTGAATCCTTGGGGTTAACATGCTTTTCCCTGCATGACTTGGTAGTTTCGTTGAGGCCCAAAATCCCCATGTGAGAAATTTCTACCTTTCATCAATTTAAATTGAAAGTTAATCGAGCACTACTTTTAAAGACTAGCAACCACTCCTTTTCTTCCTCCTCCTCCTCCTCCTCAGGCATCTTTTGGGTGCCATGAAATATCTGTAAGTTTATCTATCTGGTGAATAAAATTTATTTAAGTTACTTGGAATATGATACATGTATCAATGTGTTGCTTTAGAAGTACTATTTTTATTGTTTGCTGCAAATAGCTTGTGTTCTACGTGCATTATTCTTAATCATTTTTAGTATCTTCATCTTCCGAATTATACTTATTTCCCATGTGGTTTTCAAACCTTTAGGGACCACCCTGAAAGTTCGGGTAAGAAAATTGACCTCCCATTACTTTTGCTATAAAAATCACCACATACCTCTCTTCTGTTAACCATTGAAGGGGTGATAAATGACTCTTAAACCTTGAGATTGTTAGAATTATTTTAAATAAAATAATTGTCTTAATTAAAAAAAAAAAAAAAAAAAAAAAAAAAAAAAAAAAAAAAAAACCCTCATTTGTTTTAGGATTAAAGGATTCTAACGAAATTACAAAGAGAGTAGATTAAAGTGTTAGGCATTGTTATTATTTTTTAGGCAAAAAAAGTCAAACAAGGAAAAAATTAGTGATGCTATCACAGTCCTTTGCTACATTTGGTCAATAACTAAAGTAGGGGAGGTATGTGATGATTTAAGAAAACCTGAGGGATGGTTCGTGTTGGTTTTGAAACACGAGGTTCCTAAAATTTCAAAAAATCTCATGGGCAGTACGTGTAATTTTTTACTTTATTTTATTTTACTTTTAATAGCTGACACTGACAGGTTATTTCAATTATAAGACACTTTCTTTACATGGCTAGGGGCTTGTTAGAGCTTGTTTTACGTTTAGCTGGTAACCATGTTGCTGTGAGTAATCACTTTGGTGTATTTTCTAATGGCAAAACAGGTGGGTTACTATTTTGCACCAAGTGGCAAACCTTACCCTGATAACTGGATCATAACTGATATCATATACGAGATTGAAGGATCTTTATATTCCAGGTAGCTGTCATCCACCTGATCAGAGATTATATTGGGAATTAAACAATATAGCTTTGATGGATAATAAACTGGACTGTATGCATATAACTCAAGCTTTTCAAATTTAGTTATTGCTCAATGCTCAGTATGGAGTTGTAAGAAGTTTCTGCTTGTTGCTTTTAGCTATTGCACAATATCTAATAAGTGAAGTGGGTTCTTCTGAGGATAGTTATAAGTTAAAAAACAATAATAATAGTTTATTTGAGTTATTTTAGATATTGGGCATTTTAGTGCATGATTGGTTTGAGACAGCATGTGAAATTGCAGATATTACAAATATTTCATCTCCAGTGTTCCTGATCCTTTGGGATGAGTAGCTTTGGCAGTGCTTATGATGTGGCCACCAGTACAATCCTACATGAATAACTAGGGGTGTGCAAAATATTAATTGGCTTGGGTTAGAGCAAAACCAAAATCGAACTACCTTAATCAGTTCAAAAGAAATGAACTGAACTGTACAAGCAAAGGAACCGAACCATACTGCACAAAGAAAGTAGGTAGATCATATTTCAAGGATGTTTATGAGGATTCACAACATAATTTTCTTTGATAGGAAAAAGATTAAAAAGAAGGATGATTTACCCAAGGTTGATTCTGAGCACTTTGAACTTACTTTTATTCTTACTGAGGCACTGTTGCTTTTGCTTAAAAATGTTCCAGAGACTGGGGATTCTTAAATTTATTCTCACCATTCACCATTGTTTTAGGTCTGGAAATCTGGTTGAAGGGAACCCAGGAGCAGCAAGTGGCGATGAGACGGTATGCTCAAGAACTTTACATGTAAATGGATGTTTGTGTATAGAAGAAACATTTTTCTGTTTCAGTGTCAATTATGAAATGTACTAGAATGTTATTTTAGCTTGAATGAATAGAGCGGCAATATCTGTTTACAGGTACCATACAATTCCCTCTCTTGGTGCAAGACTTGGCTGGGACCCAAAGTGAACATAACAAGGGCTCCTCAGGTAATCCCAGTCGGTGCATAGAAGTTCTATCTTTTTCAGTAATTTCTATTTTCACTTGAATATGAGTATGCCACTAATGTTTTGTTTAGATTCATATTTTCTTTTTCTTGTTTTTTCCTAAATGAAAATTTTATACATACAAGAATCAAGAATTAAAGTACAAGGCCATAAGCAAGGGCATTCCCTTGCTGCACCTGAATTTAGATTCATATTTTCTCATTGTCATAAGCAGTATCAAATTTGTGATAAAGTTACTCTTTCGTTTCCTTAGGATTTATTAATTGGTCTACAATTGTATATTTGTTTGCTGAAATTTTCTTTTTTGATTGAATATTTGATGAAAATTTTAACAGATCTTCTTATATACCTTGGTATCGTTTTTGTATGCCCTGGGACAGTAATGTCAAATACTGTATTCGTGTCATGACAACCCTGGACTCGGAAAGAACACTTTTTTAAGTGTTTATTATTCAAAATGGATAACTGTCATCCAAGTCACATAATATGTATATTCTTTTATATATCACTTTTGTACTATGTTCCTTCATGCTAAATTAACAGAAATGCTGTCTATTTCACCATATGTAATTCATGTGTATGTGTGAGGGTATTCTGCTATCTCTGAGTATTTGCATTATTTGAGTCATCAAGTATGACCGTGTGGTTTCTGTTCAATCAGATCAGAACGGTGGTTTGTACTAGGGGTATGTGTTAATATTATATATAAAATAAATAAAAGGGCTCTTTGTTGTATTAGACCATGTTTATGGGAAATTGGCAGTATTCATGGACTTCTTTTTATGAGGAAAAGTGAAAGATTTATGCTGAAGAGGAAAAGTTGTTTGATCTACTCGTAATATATAATGTTCCCTATGTTTGTTCTGGTTATGATCATCTATTAAACACCCATCAATGGTTGGCTCCTGTACTTGTGTTTATTACTGATCATTTCTCAACCTAAACAAACCTATTCCTTTGCTAAAGACGTGTTATCAGCCACTGTGTATGTTTTACTGTGCTGCTTTAAATCTTTTATAGTTCTCAGGCCATTCAAATACCAGCATATTTTGTTGTTTTATAAGATATCCTGCTTAGCAATGTCAACAAAGTAGGTTTTGGGTGCCCCTTTTGGGACTGGCACAGAATGAAATTTTCTTCCTAAACTTGTCTCCAACCCAAGGTTGGGGGACGCATGGCAAGAGAATTAATTTGAGGCTGCAAGGGTACCCTTTGGAGACCCTTATTCCTTTCACTTTTAAATTTTAAACTTCAAAGCATGGCAACAACGATTCACATGCTTTAGCTGTTTGCCACAAAATATAAATAGAAATTGTTCTAGACATGGGATAAAGTACAGTGGCGGAACCACAAAGAGATTTTTTTTATTTTTATTTTGTATGTATAATTTTTAAAAATTATAAACATGCCTCCACTTCAAAAAAAAAAAAAAAAACAAAAACAAAAAGGACCTCAAGTCTGGACCGTTTCAGCCCTTTCCTTTATTAGTTTTTTTTCTTCCTCTCACTAGCTCTCTTTGTACGTCACTTTTCCACAACTCACATCTAGTTCATCTCATCTACTTTAGTCATCAGTATATCTTGTTTACTCTCTCAATCTTTCTCCAAGGCAAAAATGCAAAGAGAGAATTATAGAAGTCTTCTTTCAGCTCTTAGCCAATACAAAAAACCCTAGTCTTCTTTTGTCACCCAATCTTACTCTTTCTTCAAAATAGAAATTTAGTTTTTTGAAAAAAAAAATAAAATAAAAATTACAAGGATAACAATTTTGTTGATGTAAATTAACTTTTTCTGAATTGGAAGCATGAAATTTTGTTCTAGGACAATCATAAATGTATTGAGTAAAAAAATATTAATCAATATTTAAGTGTTTATATTTATTATTTTGGTAAAACAATTATCTTGATAATGTTCAATATTGACCCCAAATTAAATTTCTGGTTCTTCCAATGATGAAGTAGCATGGATAATGGATGGCTTGACTTGATAAGGGAGATTGCAGTGACATATTTTATAGACGAGTAAATATAATTAGTTTACTCTCCAAATCTAAATATTACATGCTCTTTCTTTACACTTTTTTGTTCCCAAACACAACACAGAATAGCTCCACATGGGGAAAGATAAGCCTATAATGTCGTATTGCAGTCAATTATAAGTTCAAAACCTAGCGCGACGTTGGTTCTTTACTTCTAAATTCTCCATGCTTTGTGTCTTTTTGTTAAAAATAGTTGTAACGACCTACTCCACCACATTTTATGATATTGTCCACTTTGAGCCCAAGCCCGTAAGGTTTTTTTCTTGGATTTTACCCCCAAAAGGCCTCATACCAATCGGAGATAACACCACCACATATAAATACTTCACCTTTCCCTTACCCAGGCGATGTGAGATTGTGCAGCCGTAGCTTGCCCAATGTGATAGTCTGTCAGTGCCTCTTGCTGCCTTGCACCCGCCCACGAAGTCGCCATAATCACCCCCCTTGGGGCCCAACGTCCTCGTTGGCCACACTTTTAGCTAGGTCAGGCTCTGATACCATTTGTAACGACCCACTCCACCCCATGGTATGATATTGTCCGCTTTGGGCCCAAGCCCGCACGGTTTTGCTCTTGAGTTTTTACCCCAAAAGGCCTCATACCAATTGAAGATAACACCACCACATATAAGCACTTTACCTTTCCCTTACCCAAGCGATGTGGGATTGTGCACCTGTAGCTCGCTATGTGTGGTAACCTGTCAGTGCTTCTTGCACCTGCCCACAAGGTCGCCACAATCACAACCCCCCCCCCCCCCCCCTCGGGGCCCAACGTCCCAGTTGGACACACTTCTGGCTGGGTCAGGCTCTGATACCATTTGTAACGACCTACTTCACCACATGTTATGATATTGTCCGCTTTTGGCCCAAGTCCGCATACTTTTGTTCTTGGGTTTTACCCCAAAATGTCTCATACCAATTGAAGACTACACCACCACATATAAGTACTTCACCTTTCCCTTACACAGACGATGTGGAATTGTGCACCTGTAGCTCGCCCAGTGTGGTAGCCTGCCAATGCCTCTTGCACCTTCCCATTGGCACGCTACCACACTGGGCGAGCAACGGGTACACAGTCTCACATCACCTGGGTAAGGAAAAAGTGAAATGCTTATATGTGGTGGTGCCATCTCCAATTGGTATGAAGCATTTTGGGATAAAATCCAAGAGTAAAATCGTGCGGTCTCGGGCACAAAGCGGACAATATCATATCATGTGATGGAATGGGTTGTTATAATAGTGTTATGTAATATCATGCTATTTGATAGATGAAATCGGAGCAGTGATAAGTGCTAAACTAGATGTTTGGAGAGAAACTCTATAATCAAGAGAGTTCAGATAAATAGGATTAAAACTGAATATATGACATGTAAGTTTAGTAAATCGAGAAGTTCAAGGATGTAGTTGAGATTACCAAAAGTGAGCTTTATGTTACTTAGGCTCAAGAATGCACTATAAGGGATAAATTGGAGACAATCTAGGAAGCACGGACAGTTCTACTAGTGGCGGCATCGGACACGCATGGGACACGGCCTGAACACGTGCTGGGCACGGCTAGAAGTGTCTTGGAATTTGAATATTGTATTTTCTAGTTGGATACGACTGAGACACTAAGGACACATTTAGGACGCTTTCAAAACATGACGTGGTGATTTTGTAATTATTTTTCTTAGAAAAATGGGATTCAATTCAATTTAAAATATATTATGGGTTAATTAAAAAATAATATGAAATTTTGGAAAATAAAAATAACAAACATCTAACACAAAGCTCCAATTAGTGATTTCATTCATGATTATATGGATAAAATAAGCAAAAATTATTATTTTACATATGGAATAATAAATTACTAGTATATTATTAATTTTTGTCGTACCCATGTCCTTTATTGTTTTTCTTTTTTTTAGATTTTCTGTAATGCCATGTCCGTATTGTGTACGTGTCCGTAGCTGTGCTTCCTAGGACACCATATCAATCATAGAATTAAAGCAAGAGTAGGTGAGATATTTTTCTGAAATTGAAAGGAAATTTTTATAAGCAAGTATTAGAACTGCCACACTTTATGGGACAAGTATGTTGGCTGGTTATAAAACAACATAATCATTAAATGAGTATATAAATGCAAATGTTGAGATGGATGTGTAGCATGAAAAAAGAGAATAAAATTGGAAATGAACACATTCTAGAGATGGTTGAAGTAGCATCGATTGGAGATAAAATTTGAGAATTAATTAAGATTGTTTGGCCATGTGAAGCGACCAATTACTGCATCAGTAAGAAAAGTGACATGGTCCTAATTGAGGGTAATGCTAAGGGAAGGAGAAGATCAAAGCTAACATGTGTTGAAATAATTAGGGAATATGTGATGGCATGATGTTTTACTAATGCTATGGCCTTAGATAGAGCAGAATGGTGAAACAAGATTGCTTTGACCGACATCAAATAGTTGGGAAAAGTTTTGTTGAGTTAGTAGAATATCATGCTAGCCACCACATGCCATACTTATGCCACATATTTAGAGGAGACTGAGGTGGGCTAGATCAAATCCCAAACTTCTCATGCGGGCCATATTTTGATTTTGAATTACCATAGTTATACTAGAAGGGTGAAGTAGGTTGGGTTTCTTATCTGCTCAAATTACTGTCACTTCCCATCCATGCGCCTGTAGATACTAGATTTTGATGCATGTGTAAAACAAACTAGTAGGTCAAAGTATCTTTTATTTTAATTGAGATCGACAATATGATTATTTGGTTGAATAATTCTTTTCTCAATTTCTCCATCTAAGTTTCGTTCTTTTCCATTTGGTGGCTCTCTCTATATATATATATAATTTTTTGGTGGAATTAGTCTGTATATTCTCTTTTCAAGTTGATATTGTCTTATATATGTTTGGAGGCCTTATAAAACACTAATCAATCGTTGCCTTGCTTCTTCGTACTATTGAAAACCAGTCAGAGCATGTAGGGTCAGACGTACAGGTGCACCTGAATGTAGAACATGATCATGAAGCAGATATAATTCCCAACATGACAAGGTCACCTAGAGTCAAGTACATAACCTATTATGAAGATTCTGAAAGTCTTCCAGGAAAGAGAACAGCGGTTTGGGAGATTGATAAAGGTATGTGAAGCGTCTCACCATCCTTATTCACAGGAGTATACAATTTGGGGAGTGTTGGCTTCAAATAAGTTCATGATAATGAATGATTACATGCACTGGCATGAAAGAACAAATTACCATGCAAAATATTAAGGCTGACAAGCTTTTGACTTTTCATTGTCTTTTTTATTTTTATATATGCTTTCTGGTTATCTTTTGCTTCTAGTTTGCTGCTCTTTGCAACAGCAATTAATTGTTGTCATGGAATGTATATGACTCACCTTTTGCAGGAGGAACAAGGAAGAAGCATTGTCACCAAACAATTAGGATCGACAGCTAGTATGCATTAAGGGGGAAACTAATTATAACCTAGAATAATCTAACTGCCATTTTCACTGTTAAATTTGGCCAATATGTACGAATGTTATATATATTTCTGCAGTCTTCCTCTGGCCAAAAGGCTATGATATACATGCAATATATCGTTTCTCTATTATCTTCTTTTAGAAGGTTCTGCACTGAAGGCATCATTGGTGGCTACTATTTTAGCATAGAGATCTCTATTGATTGTTTGGTGATGTTTGATTGGGAGTTTTTTAAGTTCGGTCATGATAGTGTTCTACATTATTTTTATTTTTTTCCTATTTTAAACTCACACACCCACTTTACCCGTATGGAAACTTGAATCCCTGACCTTTTACTTTGGAAGGTGAGGAATTACATCTAGGTTACAGCCCTTGTGGTAAGTTCTTCCGTTCGACATTAATTTACACCCAGTAAGAAAAGAGAGAACTCCAAAACTACAACTCCTTGGGACTTTTGTTACAGCTTGCTTTCTCCGTGAACTGAGGGATTGTCTAGTGACTTGGTGAGTAGTGGAAGGCATGTTTTACATCAAAACATCAAATTCATTTGAAAATGTGAAGATGAGTTTTCATATAGAAGTTAGCTACAAATTCATACGCCTTCACAGCCTAAGAGAAAAGCTATTAGAGAATGCCCCTTAATGACAAAGAAAATTTTATGAGAGCATGTTTCTTTCCCTACTGAGAAATTGCTTGGCAGACTACCCTCCACCGTCTATGTACATTTCGGTGAATTTTAGGTTCCCTGCAAATTTAAACCTTGGAAAAGAACTAAGGCCTTCTTACAGTTAACAGTCTCATATATATGTTCTTCTATCTACAGGACCATTGTAGATTCATTCTTATTTTGTTTCATTTTCCTTGAAAAATAATGAAAATGGAAGTTGACATTGCACATGGACTGATAAAGTTCCTTTCCATCTTTTGAATGTCTTATCAAGATGTCCTCTTTCGTTTCCTTTGTCATAATGGCACTTTGTCATGACAAATTGTGCTTGTCCTTTTTGTAGCCAATCACAGGAATATTGTTAGATCCCCAGTTCTGATGCGGGAACTGTGGCTTGAGATGTGGCATGATGTTCATCCGGATGCAAAATCAAAATTTGTTACAAAAGGTGAATCTGTATTCATTAAATTCTTTTTTTTTTTTTTTGCATTGTATTAAATTATATTAATATTAGTTCTTACATGTAACAGCGACACGTGGACCTCTGAGGGATGAGGACTGCTATTGGGACTATGGAAAAGCTCGGTGTGCATGGCCTGATTATTGTGAATATAGGTTATATCTTCTTCCTTTTGAAAATAGTATAATTTTTACAATATTATGGCCAACTATTTCACTTTCTGTATGATAACAGGTATCTTTTTGGAGATGTTCACCTGGGGCAGAGCTGTAGAATAAAGAACTCATCAGCCGATCGCCTCTTGCATTATGTATAGACTATGAGGTGTTTTTTCTGTTTCTTCCTGTTGATTCTATATGAGAAATTTGAATGATCACAAGTTATTGACCAAGTACCCAAAAACAGGAGCAAAAGAGGAAAAAGTTAAGGCATCACAAGCACTCTGACACTAAATAGGAAATACTTTGAGCAGCTCTGAAGGGTCCAAGGAAGAAATAATTAACTTTTTGAAGTTTAAAACAGTCAATACTCTGTATAGCTTATGAAGTGATAAGATAGTAGTTGAATTGTGATCATCCTTAAAAAAAGTCTAACCAATAGAAATTGTGAGAAAATTTCAAAAGAACTTTTCTAGTTTGAACTTCGGAATTTGCTGTCATATGCCCTCCTTCGGACTGCACTGTGCCCTTGTCAAAAAAATTCATCTAAAACATATAGTTCTGTAAATAAAGGAAGCTTACAAGTAAGCATATACTTCCACCGAGTTCAGTTGATCCTGATGGGTATGGGGAAGTGAAAACCTTATAAAAGGGTATATCTATATTTCCAATATCCAGGCTAAATTATAACTTGCGAAGCTTTGAACAATGTTTGTTGGTGGAGTTCAGATAGTCCAATAGAATTATCCAAGTAATCTAATGGTTCTACAACCTATTTCCTTATTATCCTTTTAAAATACAACCTATTTCCTTCATGCCACTTGAAGATGCAAATGATTTACTTCATCTTTATGTTATGTTAATAATGGAGATAATAATAGGGCCAACAAGCATGATGTCTTCTTTTTTATAAGATTTTGATTCATTTAAATTTTATGTATTGGGTTATATGTTTTGCCAATTATATTATTCTTGAAATCACATAGATTAATACTATTGTTCGTACATTTGCATGCGAACTTTGGTGAAGAGGTTTTTAAAGGTCAAGTGTCTGGCCTGAACTGGCAAAAAGCACAACTCGAGGGACTTTTTCTATGGCAGGAAATACTTTACTTTATGTTTGCTTTCTTTTCCAACAATCCAATATTTTTGTAACTTCATTTCTAAACGAAGAAAAAAAATGCAACACTTGAGGAGTTGCAACAAAGAAAATATATATATATTACAGATTAAATTAGCAGACCTATGAACAAAAGCAACAGGAATCTGTTTCAACTAGTGAGTTTTTATATTGTGTATCGCTTAATGCTATGTTCGGTTGTATGGAATTGGCTTTAGAATTAGAATTGGAGATAAATTAGTTTAAAGTCTGAACTGATTTTTCTCCAATTCCAATCCCAAGACATCAATTCCATGCAAACAAACATAGCATAAGTGTATTGTTTTGTGTGTTTATTATATCTTGGTTGTTATATATACCGTTGTGGAACATAGTTTGGAACTTGTATGTTATTTTAAATAGATACTCTTTTATTTGAGACTGATCCATTTTTTTTTAAACCTCTGCTTTGTTATAGAACATATCAAATTTGTTTCCAAAGACTGATACTTTATTTAAACCTCTGATTTGTTAGAACTGTAAGATCTGTTTTCTATGGTATCGGTATCTCCCCGAAATTGGTTCCACATTGTAAATTCTTGCTGATTGTCACCATAGTCAGAGGCATGTACAATGAACATGTGAGTGCTTTAGTCTCTTATTGATTCCGATTGATATTCAGATGGTTTAACGATTCCTAGTACAACATGGCACTAATGTAGAGGTTTTCTTTTCCTGTTCTTCTATACTTTGGAGTCTGTTTAATGACTTTATGATAATTTCAAAACTTCAATGCTGTATTGCAGAAAAGTAGATTTTCACTCCTAGTAGTAAATCGGCGGCGTTGGTATCTTCAGAAAATATTCACCCAATGAGTATGCAATGTGGAGAATTTTGCTGCGAACCAAAAATGTTTCTTTCTTCAAGCATTGATGTACTAGGGTGAATTGTGTACAAACAGTGAACTCAAGATTACTTGATCCTGTTGAAGTTCAGTGTAAGGGGAGTTTTTGGACATCTTAATGAAAATTTTGGTATTATCTAGCATATGAAATTTGTTGCACTCACTGGTGGAAGCATTTAGAGAGAATATATTGTCGTATCATATAAAAAAAATTACAAGCAGACTTACGTAGGTTTCAGTTAATTTGACATTTTGGCTCCTTTTCTGGTGTGGTAAAAAGCTACATAGTCGAAAGGGGAGGGTTATATTCAAATACTGTAGAAGACAAATTGCAAATGTTTAATTTTCATGTATTTTTGAGCATGCACTTGGATTCCCTTAAAATCCATTTTTAGCAAAACTTTTAAAGTCATTTTTAACAAAAGACTAGTTATGATATGCATAGTGAAAGTTTCAACTGAATGAAGAGCGGATCAGCCCAGTGGGTTAGTGTCTCCGATGGACTTTGGAGTGTCAGGCTTCAACTCTCTGCATCTACTAATCTAACCCTGAACACTTAATACTTTGAAAAAAAAAAAAATTGCAGAAAGCACGGATCAGCTTTCTATTTATTAGATAGTGCATGTAAGACCCAAACATGAGTCCCACATTCACCATTCAGGGTGGTGGAGCCGTTCAGACATTTAGTTGAAACTCTCACTAAATTTTTTGTTTTTTTTTTCTTAGTTGGTACTCACACACGGGCCTTCACTGAGGTTCGAATCCTGACCTCCCTTTGGAAAGTTGGGACCTGCATGTTGATAACTCTCACTATCTTCAGAAGACAACATCATTGTGGGAAAAGAAGTGGAAACCATTTGGGTAATTGTTTTGCATGATTCAAGGTTTGGAAGCATTTACACATACCATGTGACCCCAAACACTAACCTTTGATTCAGACATGGTAAAATTAAATTGAAGTTTCCAAAAGTGTCTTTCCCTTTGGCTTGAACAATATAACCACAATTTGTCACGGAGCACCTAGCAAGTTTGGTGTGTCTTTGTGGTAGGAACCCAATACCCAAACAAGTGCAGCTCAAACTGCTCATCTCCTAACTCCGCAAGTGGCATTGGTGGGTGCTCTTATGGTCTTTGTGCCAGTTCAGCCTTGGGTCAGCCTTCTAGCAATAGTTTTGAAAACTATTCTAGTAGTGAATTGAACATTCAACACACGAGGCCGTGGGTTCGAATTTGAGACATTTGCTTTCAGCAAAATATAATGTTAAATCTGTCTCCAATCTTTTCCCCTCTCATAAACCCTTCATGAAATCATGTGTGTTTCAAGAATCAAGATACAACTCTGAAGTAAAACTCTTGTGTTTCACACTGACAAACAAGTATGTGTAGTTCAAAAAATAAAAATAAAATAAAAGAACCAAAAAAGGCGAAAGACAAGAATAAACTCTTTCAATGAAGACTTGGCTAGCTGCTTTTTCTGATCTCGAACGAATATTTGAGCTCCATATGACATCTTCTGTCATCATCTTCAAACTGCATGAAGTACAAAACCGGCCTTTAGACGATAGTTCATTGAAAATCTAACCCCTCTATCGACTAACTCAAAAACTTTCAGCTATATGCATCATCAATTTCTTTGAAGAATATACTTTACTTTCATCCTTACAAACTTGTATACACATTTAGACCTATTGAACTTTAATCTGATTTCTATTTAATTTGTTCTGGAATGAATTATTTCAGCAAAGACAAAAAGAATATAAAAGTAAAATATGTAGAAGATAACACTATAAATGGTCTTCTTTGAAAGTAAAAAGGGCGAAGCAGCTCTACATTCCATGAAAAATTGAGAACCTAGAAGGCAATGGACTATATGATGTGCTTCAAAGTGCAAAACATACATGACCAAAGAAAAGGTTCAAATTTCCAAAACAAGCGAAATGTTGGTTGATCTTAGTGACATCAATTTAGAAAAACAAATGCAGCATGTAGGGTTAAGGAGGAAAATAAACTATAGACTTGAGATTGTGGGAATAAAAACATAACTTTGGTTCATTAAAATTTGATCATCACAATTGCATTTTCCACTTCTTTTTCCCTTGTGTATGCTTGTGTGTGCACTTGTACAGCCGTGGAGGACAAAGTAAAACACCACATACTTGAGTTGATCATGCAAAAGCACATCAACTGCAGGTATGCACGAACACTATAAGTACCTTAAGCTTTGCCGAGTAAATTCCTCTTGCAAGCACGCCAGATGGAGTGGTCTCCTCATCCAAGGTGTGTACATATGGTTCTCGCTGAGGAGCAAAAGTACCCAACATTCCTTTGCTTTGATCAACTGACAACCAAATCAAAAATAAACAAATGAAAATAAGAAACCAGACGATATAGTCGGATGAGAAATATGACCACGGGGAAAGTGGTTTCAGGCGCAAAACAAATAAGTTAGGCAATTAATATTTGGGAAGTACAAGTGCTCCGTGATTTCTGCAAGAGCACCATCACATCTACACCATTGCCATTCATCTCCACTAGTGTAAGAATGAAAAATACCAACAAGCGCTCTGTAAATCTAAGGTGTTTATGGCTTCACAATCATGCAGACAAATTATATAACTATTTTCTAAAATAAAATTTGTTTTAATGCATGCTCATGAAAAAAGAATGAGGAATAGTGTAGTTCTAAAAGAAAACCTAAAGCGTTTATACCTCTTGGTACTGTAACTTTGCAAAGTAATTCTATGTTACTATTTTAACAATAATTAATTTTCCTAGATGGGCAGACTTTAGGAGATAAGCCTATATCAATCCATGTTAACAAATTTCATAAATTTTAAAACCTTCCGTATCCAATCACGTTAAAGCATCCTTTCATGTTGTTCATTATTCAAGATAAAACTCGCTTGTTCTGTTTAATAAGATGCCAACAAGATATACCTAATTCGTTTAGTGTTTATATGCTCTATGATTAGTAAATTTATGCAATCACTTTAGGTTTGATTCAAACTTGATTAAGGTCATCATAATCTCAACCATAATTTATCCATCATATATTAAATTAGTTAATCCGAAATGAGATAAGAACAGTTCTAAACCTTGTAGTCCTCCCTTCCACACTGTGTTCGTATATGTCAGACCAGACACAATGTTGTGCAGAACAGTGAATGTCAGCTTAAATCGATACTGCGATCCCTCCCTGAGAGTAAAGAGGACGCGGCTGCTCGTGCTCACATCAAGAGGCAAGGGAGTGTTAATTTCCCCAAGGTCTTCGGATATGATTCCAATGGAATGAAATGAGACTTCAGGTTCCATTTGCCCTAACAAAAGAGAAATCCAATTTAAAAAAAAAAACAGAACAAATATAGATGTGGTGTAAAAATGTCATCAACACAAAGCCCTAAACAAACCATTTAAGTCGCCTTCCAAACAACCGAGCAGCTTCTCTTTCCACCTCCTTAAGCTCTCATCATCCTGAAAAGCAAATATACTAATGAACAATGATGTCCTTCGACTCTCACAAGACGCAAAAACACCTCGGTTCAAACGACGTGTGTGGTTTGCTGGTGATTGCACATATCCGAGATTTACCTAGCAGCCTCGTGTACCAAAGGTTACCAGGTTGGAAGGGTTACCCATTTAAAAATATATATATATTCCTAGCAGTTCATTACAGAAGCAATTTTGATTCCCCATGGATGGAATAAAATCATTTTGAGGTTTCAATAGTATTTGAAAGCACAAATCTACCTTCTAGAATGTAAATAGAAATTTTTGAAATGATAAAATCTTAACCACCAATGTAAGTGGGGAAAATGAACCAAATGAAATCCTAAAGCTGATACTAATTAGGTAAAGTAAACACATCTCTGATATATATACTATAATTTTTTGGGGGTAAGATTTTTTTTTTTGGCAAGCACCATATATCTTTAATTGTTAAGGGTAAAAAAAATACAACCCCTAAATCATAAAAGGGATTCAGGTAATCCACACACACACACACATAGAGAGAGGAAGAGAAAGAGATTTACAATTTTAAAAGTGATGTAAGAAACATATTAACAACTGAAACACATATACTACAAGTGAGGAGGATTTTTAAGTGAGAGATAGTAAACAAAACCTTGTCTTTCTCAAGCTGATCTTTGAGAGGTAAAAGAGGGCTAGGAACAAAATTACCAACAGCCCCGCCTTCTTCTTCATGATCATCATCGCCATCATCATCATCATCTCCATGATCAACAGTCTCAATATCATCACCAACCTCCTCCTCTGCAGGTCTCTCACTCATTTCTGTTTGTTTCCCTTGAACTTGTTTTCCATCCCCAACACCACTACCTGAGAAAACCCCAGAAGATGATCCTGCCTCTGCTCTCTTCCCACCCTCCATCTCTCTCTCTCTCTCTCTCTCTCTCTCTTCCCCCAAAACACTAACAAGGGTGTTAATACAGTAGTAATTGTTTTAGTTGTAGGCACTAGACACTAGAGTCCTAGACAGACAAACCTTTTCTCTCTCTATATGTATACATATATGTGTGTATATATGTAGACTATAGAGCACTGCTTCTCATGGGGTGTGTGTGTGTTTTTTTTTTTTTTTTTTTTTTTTTTTTTTTTTTGTCTTTAGAGCCTTTTATTGTTGCCTCTGTCTGTCCCAATGCTGTCAACCTGTGTCGGTGTATTTTGTATGACTTTGAAAGTAGATATATATATCATAGAGCCAAGGTACTGTTCACACCAGTTGTTGTTGACTGCTTTATTCAAACTTTCTTTTTACTTGGCCACCACCTTTGTCCCACTAGCAATTCAATTTATTCCATGTTTGGTAGTCACATTTGGTTCATTTCATTATCCTACATTTTCTTATTTTGACAAGTAATCATAACCTTTTTTTTTTTTTTTTTATTGATAAAAGTCTGCATAAATTTATTCTTGACAATGGAATGGAAGTTTCTATATTAAAATCTCATAAAAAAAAAAAAATATATATATATATATATATATATATATATATCTATTTACCCTATAAAAGTGTATTCTATTTATATTTTTTTATATACAAATTATATTATAACTACTTACACTTCTTTTAAAAGTCACCTTTTATTATTAATATATAATTAAATTATTTAATTTATTTTAATAAATAAATGTGACTTTCAAATAATTACTAACACCTCTTCTAAAAGTCACATTTTAACTGCACTAATACTTCTTCTAAAAGTCACATTTTAACTACAAACACCTGTTTGTTCAATTCTATTTGTATTTGTTATATACACTTTTTTGTAATAATAATATATACTTTTCAAATAACTTCTAACACATTTTCTAAAAGTCACCTTTTATCATTTATATACAATTAAATCATTTAATTTATTTTAATAAATAAATGTGACTTTTCAAAGAACTACTAACACCTATTCTAAAATTCACCTTTTAACTGCACTAATACATCTTCTAAAAGTCACCTTTTAACTGCAAACACATGTTTGTTCTACCATATAATATATATATATATATATATATATATATATATATATATCTAACATTCATATCACCCTATATCTTACTCCTCTCTATTTCTTTCCATCTCTCTTTGAAAAGAATTTCTTCACAAAAAGTTTGTTAGAGGTTTCTTATTCCGCAAACAATTTCAACAGCTTTGAGAGGAGACTCGCCTTTTGGTTCATGTACATCAAATTACAACTCAAAACCCTTTCAAATTTTTTTTTTTTAAAGATATGTTTTAATTTGAATTAAAGAACGATTTATATATTTTATCTTTCTATCTAATCATATATATATTTATATTGTTTTATACATAATTAGTACATGAGGAGTTATTATATTTTATATGTTCTCCTAATAATTCAGTTCTGAAATTCTTTTATTACGATGTGAAAGAAATATGCATGAATATTAAATTTGTTTTGTTCAGAAAAATTACATGAATAAAATATATGAAATATTGTATTTATTCAATATACGTGTATAAGTATATATAGATAACTGACGAGAATAATCATTGATTCAAATGTCAGTTAGTTATCATAAAATTCTTTCATGAATGAATCATTATATATACAATATATAATTAGTACATGAGGGTTAAATGATAGACTTGATGATAGGGTTAAATGAACGATTATGGGATTAAGTTTCTTAATTAATAGTATATACATTTTTTTTTTTAAAACCTCCCTCAACTTTCTTTTCTTTTCCAATAAACATCTGAACTGAGTGAAAGACACTTAACCCCTTGAACTATTTCAATTGTTGCAAATCATTAGTGGACCGTTTGAAATCTAACGTTCAAAGAAGCACATGACTGATTAGACTAATAAATCAGTTGTCTATTTAAAAACTAACACATCTTCAAAATCATGTATTCTTATTTAAAAACAAAAACAAAAACAAACGACTCTTGGTTTAAAAGAATAATAATAATAACTTCAAAGTTTTAGTTTTTAAGTTATTTATTATTGATTGTTTAATGAAATTCTTTGATTGTTCTTACAGAAGAATGATCCTTTTTATTTGACTAATGGTACCAACAAACAATTAATTATAATATAACAATTATAAATAATAAATAAACAGGTAACTTATAAAAGAAAAACTAAATTACTTAACGAGTTACAATCTTAACAACAAACACACCTTTTAAAAGTGATCTCCTTAAGAAAATAAACACGTGCAATGCACGAAAAAAATATATATATATATTGGATAAATAATTGGTATTTTATATAATATTTTATCTCAAAATAAAATAAAATTGACTTTAATTTTGAATCTTCCAAACCAAAAAATTAATTTAGATTTATGGAATCGATCTTAACTAAAATTAAAATATTAATATGATTTATATGAGGGTTTGAATCATCTTTCTGTTTAATTATTAAAATATTAGAAATGTTTTGCATTAAGGAGATTACTTTTAAAAGGTGTGCTTGTTGTTAAGATTGTAACTCATTAAGTAGTTTTGTTTTTTCTTAAAGCTAATTTAGATTTACGATGTTAATTAAAATAAAAATATTAATATGATTTATATGAGGGTCTTAATCATCTTTCTATTTAATTATTAAAATATTAGAAGTGTTTTGCATTAAGGATATTACTTTTAAAAGGTGTATTTGTTATTAAGATAGTAACTCATTAAGTAGTTTTGTTTTTTTTTAAAATTAATTTAGATTTACGATGTTAATTAAAATTAAAATATTAATATGATTTATATGAGGGTCTTAATCATCTTTCTGTTTAATTATTAAAATATTAGAAGTATTTTGCATTAAGGAGATTACTTTTAAAAGGTGTGTTTGTTGTTAAGATTGTAACTCATTTTGTTTTTCTTTTATAAGTTACGTAAACAATCAATAATAAATAACTTAAAAAATAAAAATTTAAAGTGATAAAGAGAGTCATTATATGATTATTGATACAAGAATATTAGGATTTCAATAAAGTTTTGCATAAAGGAACTTTGAAGATGATGAAAAGTGTCAAAATGATTGACTTACTTATTTTTAATCCTTATTTATCTTTGAGATTAAAAGTCAATTATTTAGCACTTTTATCCGCACGTTACCGTCAATTATTTTTAATTTCATTTTAGATTTTTCTTTCTCCATTTGACTTCCAAATTATTTTTATTTTTCACTTGTGCTATTTTACTATCTCAAAATATAATTAAATTATACTCACGTGCATTGCACGTGGTTCTATCTTATATATATATATATATATATATATATATATATATATATATATATATATATAATGCAGGTAAATTACTGATTAAGCAATCTTTAGAAACAAATTGTGAATTTGAAGCCTTGAAAATCAAATATGATAGAATAGAGAATATCCGAACATAAATGATATGTTTGGAAGTAATTACATTTTGATTTTATAAGTGAGTTTCATTTATTTTGCAGACTTTGAATTCACGGTTTAATTTGTCAATGTGATTAAACAATTTTAACATAAAATGTTGAAATTTTATGATATTATTGCAAAATACCCGAAATAAAGGGAAAAGGAAAGGTCATATTGAACTTTGTATATTTTGGTGCTTCAAGAGCATTTTCAAAACACCATATTGATTTAAAGGAGTAACATTTTGATCAATAAATGGTGCCCTGTTTTTGTCCTGAAATATCTCATTTGATGGCAGTTTATGAATTCCTTTTAATAGCTTGTCACAATTTAATTTTCTCTTGGCAAGAAATTCATGAGTTTTGCAGGCAGCATTTACCATGCTCAACTGCGCTAAAGTTTTTTTTTTTTTCGTCTCCCACAATATTTTTGAAGAGTATCAACCCTCCATATTTCACTCACTCTGAAAAGAAAAGAGATATCATTACACCACAAGCCTCGATGATGGTACAGTTACTTCGTGAACATAACCAGGTACGGACCTGCATCATGCATATGCGCGGGGCGGCGGGGTATGCACCCCCTGAAATTCATTATATACTCATAAAATATTGTTATTCCCCCCTGAAATTATTAAAAGATTTTATTCTTGCCCCAGCAGGGGCCCACACTGCGCGGGGGACGTACCAGCGAAAATTCGGGTCTCTGGAAGATTTTAGACTCCAAAGCAGAACATTCTTGTTGGTTACCAGGACATGGTACTTACTTTGTATTCTTCAATCTTCAAACTATGGTGAAACCTCCGAGAAATAAACCTCCACTGCAAAATTCAACTCCAGAGAATTAGTCAGTACAATACAAACAATCTTGTTTGAAATGTCTATTTACAACCTCCTCCTTCCAACAAATTTTGGACCGTTTAATCAAACACATTATTCAAATATATTATTCTCATGTATTGAAATTTTGCACACTTTGAAATAAGTGGTTAACAGAGCATCAACTTATTATTGCAGTGCAACCATCATTTCAGGAACAGTGGTAGACCAAACTCCCGGACATCGTCCTCCATTGATACTATACAGAACTCGGGCTGTGAATAAGGATGATAGAAAACAAAACCGGAACCTTTATATATATCGATTTTCCATCAAACAACATGATCGATGATACATAAACGAGGAGAGTGAGAAGCAGAAAGACGACGGCTCTTACAGACCAATGACTCGTCAATATCTTGTCACCTGAAGGGCTCAACTGGTGCAGTGCCTCCAAGAAGGGTAGCGGCCTGGAAACAATCAGCAGCTTCCTGCGCTGATGCAGCGCCGGAATCTTTGTAAAGCAGGCCGAGATTATACCACGCAGAAGCATTCATTCTATCCAACCGTAGTGCTTCTGTCAGAAAGCTTCTGACAACTGATAGAGACTTGCCACCAAGCTGTCTGAGAATCACGGCCGTGGAGATCAGACTTGGGACATGAGTGGGATCAACATCTAAAGCCTGACCGAAAGCTTTAAGAGCCTCCTTGTGGAGACCCTTCGCTTCGTGAAGCAAACCTGCAAAATTACCCCAACTCTTGTCTCTTATTATTTCGTAGTGTGAAGCAATTACTTCATATCAAACATGGCCCGCACAATAAAATTAGTTTCACAGAACATGCAAAAGATAATAACTTCTATCTAATCACTTTGACAGCTAGAGGAGCTAGAACCAGTCTCCAATGGATCACTATAACTGATAAGAGGAAAGTAAACTTGCAAGTCCAACAGGTAACTCAGCCTTAAGACAATACATCTCATCTCAGACGAAAGCCTTCTAGTGCTAAAAAAAAAAAAAAAAAAAAAAAAAAAAAAAAAGAAAAAAAAAGAAAAGAAAAAAAAAAAAAAAACAAGGCACCGACTAACAACTAAAACAAGAGGTGAAAAGGAATCAAAATAACCGATTTCATGGCTGCAACCATAAATAGAACTGCTATGTCTAAATCCCAGCTATTTACAATTAGTTTTTACAAATCTAACTGTGATCCACCAAGTCTTCAGATTATTCTCCGATCAAAATCTCAGCCAGATGTCAACCCTCTATCAGCCAATTACAAACTCCAGACAGGCTAGTTGTTGGCCAAAAAATGGTCTCATGAAACTTTACAGGACTACGGGTGTAACCTTATCTGTTATGCATTTCAGATTCATACAATTCTTCTGAAACTAGAAGATAGTCTAGACAACAAGCCCCATTTCATCAATAGAAAACTCCATCCCAGAAATTTGAGCAACTGGTAGCTAATCTATGGCTTCCATAATGCACTAAAAGCATTTCAATCTCTTCTATTGCAGAAAAACTTTGAAGTCTTAACAGTTCCTCTGAAATTCACATCACAGTTTTATAAAATAATCACCCTTTTCATGTGAAAATTCTGACTTCCACATTTGGTCATTATCTCATAAAATGCAGAAAATCCTTTGAAGTCCTAACAGCTCATGTGAAATTATGACAGTTACCATTTCTAGTAAAAATCGATACAATCTTATAGTTCTAATACAAAATAGATAATTAGCCATTTAATATTAATTAAATAAAACAACTCTCTAGAGAGAAAATAAATGCGAATTGGGAAGACATTCAGACAGAAAATTCATGTTTTTGGTGATTGCTGAAATCTCTGGACAGAATAGATAGAAAAACTGAAATTGACTGCCAGCCGGTTAACCAACTTAGATTAAGAATATAACAACCAGCCAGAATGTATCGAGTGAAAGCTCATGATGGATGGACATCAGGAAACTCATGTCAGGCGACATACTTCTGAAGTTATCATCAAGGGCAAAATTCACCACAGGAATCAATTCAATTAAACGCCACAGTCCATCTAAGAGACATCTTTTCTTAATTTTCAATTATAGAAATGAAAATCAAGGTTGTAGAACTTATTACCAAAAAAAAAAAAAATCATCGATACTTTCATATTAAATTGAGATGCTTTTGTGCTATTTCTCCTTTAGTGATTCTAAATTTGATAACGTTTTTTTTGTTTTCCCAATGGGTGGGGAAGCAGTTTTGAACACTAAGAGTGACCACAAAAGACAATGGATATAAGATAAGGAATATATAAATGTACCGATGGCATGCCATCTGGAAGCAGAATGACAATTGATGGCCTCAGATTTGGAGAGACAAATTTCAGCGTCGCGCCACTGTGACAAATTTATGTATACACAAGCCAGATCATGCCAGGTTTCCAATTCCAAAGTTCTGTCATGGTTCCCATCGCCCTGTCAAAAACACACAAATGTTCTAAACAAGATAGATTTCTCGGAAGAGTATAAACTTGAAGATCATGTCTAGTAAGGAAAAGTAAACCTAAAAGATGATTCCAAAATTATCTACCATGTGTTAGGAGCAAAAGAATGCGTGTTCGGGTTCTTGGAAATGGTGATTGCTATCTTAGTTTAGGGATAGCATTTTCTAGCAAATGTTTCAATTACATAAGTTTACACATTAGATACAGGCTACAGTAATATTGTAACAGTGCAAGGGTTATTGCTTGGTGAAATATTAAGGACGAAAATGTAGGTTTGAATACGAGAAAGTTCAACCCCAAGGGGTTGGCCTAGTTGGAAAAGACTTGGGCCCGGGTACCTCATGAAGCATCAGGTCTCAGGATCGATTCCTGTTAGGTGCAAACAATTCCTTGGAGGGGGGTGTGTGACTACCAACTAGGAAAAAAAATATGAGAGAGTTTGTTTGCATAAATAAAACCTGAAGTAAAGTGATAAAGTCTATACCAAGTTCAACCCTCCCAGCACCCCAAACTGAGAGGACCAACATAGAGTATTTCTCTTTAAAGTGGTGAATCTGGTGATGTTACACTGTCTATTCAAAATCATGGATTCAGTTTTTTCTCCTGATGGCTTTTTATGAAACAAGACCATTCTCAGAAACAAATTCATCTAGCCACATAGGGCTGGGAAAAAAAAAATTAAAATTTATATATATATAAAAATTAAAAAATTAAAAAAAAAAAAAAAAGAAAAGAAAAGAAAAATAAATAAAAGGGCAAACCCAGTGCACGAGGCTCCAGTCACTATGGGGTCTGGGGAGGGTTAGGTGAACACTGAAGAAAGGAGATTAAAAAAAAGTATATACCGAGTGTAATATTTGGAAGCAGAATTGTTGTTGTGCTTGCAGTATAAGACGATGTGTATTTTGTTAATAACTAACCTTCCATTAAAATGATGGCAAGAAGCTATACATCATTTGAAATTTCTGCCATTCCACAAAACAAATGTAGCCACAGTGGCAATATCCTAAAATTAGTGTCCTTTTCCTCTCCAAACAAGAATCTCATGAACTAGAGAAAAAAAAACAAAAAAACAAAAACAAAAACAAAAACAAAAACAAAAACAAAAAATAAAAACAAAATTTTAAATAATATAAAAAAACACAGAATTTCTGCGCTAGACATGTTAAGAAATCCATTTTCAAGACATTCTGCTTGATGCTACTAGTAGCTTGTAAAAAAAATATCATAGAGCTATAAATGGAAAGGTAGTAACAAATAACAATTCAAATACTTAAGTAAAAAAAAAAAAACTCCCCATCGACATACCTTTAAAAGCTTCTTCCCAAATCCAAAGCTTTTGGCCTGGACTTGCAGAACAGCAAGCAGCTGAGTATATGTTTCAGTCGCTCTTTTTAAATGGCCCTGTGCAATTTGGAGTTTAGCTTTAGTTCGCAACAAGTCTCCCTGATCCCATTTCCCAGTCTGATCTAGAGCAGCATTTATGATAGTCTCAGCATCCACAAACCGTTTCTGAGCTGATAATATCCGAGCCAACAACAGCCACCCATTAATGCTGGACCCACCTTCCAGTTTTAGCAAGCGCTTAGCATAATAAAGAGCACTATCCAACTTCCTTTGCTCAGCATTTTCTAGGCTAAGGTGAAAAATAATTTTGGTGTCTCTCATTCTTGTCATTTTCCCAGCATTCTCCAGGGACATAAGTACCTCGGATTGTTTCCTGACCCTCTCAGAATCAGTTGCAACTGATCTAGATTGGATAGAGAGTGAGATGCCCAATAAACAATTGGCAACACCTACCATCTGATCACATCTGTCCTGCAAGCTTTCAATAGCTCTACAAGCAAAACTTACCCCTTCTTCCACATAATTAGAATTCTCCCCACAAATTTTTGAAGCCATTAATAAAGCTTGAACACAATTTGGATCCTCTCTAATATTCAACAATTTCCTAAGCAAATTCAAAGCTGTCAATTCCTCTCCTTCTCCATGGTAACATAGAGCTAGATTGAGATACCTTTCTTTTCGTTCTATAACCCCAGGAAGCAATTCCTCTAATTGATTAGCTAAAGCATGTAACTCCGCTGAGACAGACAGAGCATATGTGAGGTGATCCAAAATTGATGGATCCCAGTCAATTTTTTTTAGAGAAACTTTTCTTAGTAGAATCATTAACAGAAGAATAGCCTCTTCTATGTTGTTTTTAGGTACAAATGAACTGTCCATTTGGGAACGAAGGTTTGGGGCTATTGCTTCAGTTCCACTGTACAGAAGAAAAATGGCAAACTCTTTTTGAATCTTTGCCGTAGTTTCTGCATCAAGATTCCAGTGAAAGAGGAGGGCTCGTCTGTATGACAAGATCACTTCATGAGAAGAATCAGCAAGTTTCCATAACTCAGGAAGCAACTCAACCGCCTTGCTTAGAGTCTCCTGCAATTTACAGTCAGCACCAAAGTTTTCAGGCAAGCCTTCTTGGAATGAAGATTCAACAATATCGAGAATAACTTTGCATGATTGAGCAGCTTCTGCAAAATGATTAGAGACATATATTAGCCAAAACAATGACAGTTTCTAGTAGAACGTTACTTGCTAAACCATTCCCACACCTATCATCTAAAATGCATGCAAACAAAATCAAAAGCAAAAACAATAGCAAAATAGCCAACTAGCCAGGAATATCCATTGTTCGCATACACACAGATATAATATCTCATGCTATCATGCACATAAAATCAAAAGCAAAAATACAGTAGCAAAATAGCCAACTAGAGGAAAATCCATTAATGGATGTTCCTGGCTAGTTGGCTAAATAGCAAAGTTGACGGAGAAGAGTTAAATTTATTAATACGCCATTTTGACTGTGAGGGACTTAAGCGGTCACACCTTTTGTACTGAAACAGCAGTTTTATAAGCAGGAAAAAGCTTCATCCATTCTGAACGTCTTACTTCGAACAATATAATACTAGTATTTCAAATGCTGAAAGATTAAATACATCAAACTATTATTTAACCTATATTAAATTGCTAAAAAAGTAAACGGTAACTAAACAACAGCACAACAAAAGAGTGGTACTAAGGGGACAATGTTGTTATTGGGTCCGTCTTGTTAATCATTGACTTCCTTAAAGTAGTTATAAACAGGACTCCTACCTGATAATTTTCATGAGACATATAATGAAATATATACATATAGCAATTTTATTTTCAACCATTACATCATTAGATAAGATGTACAACAAAAGAGTGGTATTAAGGGAACAATGTTGCTATTGGGCCCGTCTTGTTTAATCATTGACTTCCTTAAAGTAGTTATAAACAGGACTCCTACCTGATAATTTTCATGAGATATATAATGAAAAAAATATATAGCAATTTTATTTTCAACCACTACATCATTAGATAAGATGCTAGTCTTACACAATTAACTACCACCACGCCCGCCGGGGGTGGGGTTGTTTGTATGGATTGGGATGATGTCAAGAAGATCATGAAATTCTATATGGAATGTATCGATGTAACTAATAATAATAAATAAAAGAAGAAGTTTTGGGTTTTGGCTTACTCAAACCGAGAGCCAAGAGCTATATTTATATACAATAACAAAATCAAAGAAAAACAGAAAATATGCCAAAATCTACGTGATCCCGTGATTATGGGGATCTTATCTACATGATCCCTTGATAATAAGGATCTTACATAAAACAACCTAATAAAAGGCTGAAAACAGCTAATAAAAAATAATAATAATAATAATACAAATATTTCAACACTCCCCCTCGAGCTGGAGTGAAGATATCAATCAAGCCTAGCTTGGTAATCGAGGAATGAAGCACAGATGGACCAACGGATTTGGTGAACACATCTACCGACTGATTAGAGGACCGAACAAAGCACAGCTTGATAATTCCCAAACGAACCTTCTCTCTATGAATGTCTACCTCTATATGTTTAGTCCTCTCATGAAGAACAGAATCTGAAGCAAGCATGATGGCTGACTTATTATCACAAAGCAAGTCTGAGGACTGTTTTTCACTTAGCCCTAGCTCCTCCAAGAAAGATCGAAGCTAAAGAATAAGATGATCTTCCGTAGAAAGTACAGAAGCCAGATGTGGAACGTTTGTCAGTCTTGGACCCAGCATAGTCTGCATCACTGAAACCAAATAGCCTAACCTGCCTGCTAGAATAATAGAAAAATCCAAATCCAGGGCAGGACTTCAAATATCGAAGAATATAATATACCACGTCCATGTGAGATGTACGAGGAACATGCATAAACTGACTCACAACACTAACCGCAAAATCCAAATCAGGACTGGTGTTGGTAAGATAAATCAATCTTCCTACCAAGCGCTGATACTGCGAGGGATTAGAAAGGAGATCTCCAAACCCAACCGAGATTTTCAGATTAAGATCCATAGGAGTGGAAGCAGGTTTACACCCAAGCATACATGTGTCTCGAAGAAGATCCAAGACATACTTCATTTGCAAAAAAGAGATACCCTGCTTAGATCTAACAACCTCAATTCCCAAGGAATATCTGAGTTGCCCAAGGTCTTTCACATCAAAAGCTTTAGCCAATTGAAGCTTTACTTGAGCAATCCCAGGGATGTCATTGCCAATAATGATGATATCATCAACATAGACAACAAGAATGATACATCTACCGGTGGAAAAACGGTGGATAAAACATGTATGGTAAGAATGACATCTAACAAACTCCATAGATAGAATTACATCACTGAAGCAGCTGAACCAAGCTCTAGGAGATTGTTTTAACCCATACAAAGACTTCTGAAATTGACAGACCTTTCCAGCATAATCCCCCTCAGCCCAAAAACCAGGTGGAGGATCCATATAAATAGTCTCAAGAAGATCACCGTTAAGGAAAGCATTCTTCACATCAAGCTGATGAAGAGGCCAATTATGAGAGGCAATCAGGGAAACAAGCAAACGAACTGAAGTCAATTTAGCCACTGGAGGGAAGGTATCATTGAAGTCTTTACCAGGAATCTGAATAAATTCTTTGGCCTCCAAATAGGCCTTATACCGATCAATAGAGCCATCAAGCAGACATTTAACATTGAATACCCATTTACAACCAAAAGTCTTTTCACCAGGAGGGAGAGATACAAGCTCCCACGTTTCATTTTGCTGCAAAGCATCCATTTCTACCATCATAACAGACATCCAATTGGGATTCCGGAGAGCCTCAGAGACATTTCTGGGAATGGATGGAATCAAGTTTGCCTAAAAAGGCTCGATAAGACCCAGAAAGACCATCATAAGAGATATATTGCAAAATACGATGATCAGTACTACAAGCGAATCCAAATCGAGCAAGGGGTTTGCGGACACGAGTGGGATACCGAGACTCAGGAACAGGGTCAGGGAAATGTAAAAGAGAGAGAGGAGATGTACCTGAACCTGTATATGAGGAGGATAAAGGCAATGGAGGCAGAGCACGAGGGCAGCGAGAATAAACCTGCAAAGAGGGTAAGGAAACCACAAGAGGAGACTCTTCTTGAAAAATAGGAAGAGGACGAGCAAGAGGAGAAGCCTTCTGGTCAGGGGTAGAAGCTTCCTACAAGATAATGTTAGAACCATAAAAAGGGGTATGCTCCTGAAAAGTGACATCAAGAGAGTGATACATGTGTTTGTATACAGGATCATAACACGATAACTTTTTGACATTGAAGAGTATCCTAAAAAGATACATTTAATGGCCTTGTCATCAAGTTCAGTACGAGAAGGGCTACGATTCTGAACAAAGCATGTACATCCAAACACCCGAGACATGATAGAAAAGAAAGTAATATCAGGCTGAAAGACTTGTCAGGTGGCCTTACCATTTAATACTCTACTAAGGGTACGAATAATGAGAAAAATAGTTGTAAGAACTGCCATGTACCAGTATGACTTTGGCACATGTCATTGGAAACATATTCACGGCCATTGTCAGACCTAATATTCTTAACAACGGTTTTATATTAAGTTTTGATCATTTGGAGGAATAGAGTGAACAAGGGAAAAACTTCAAATTTCATTTTAAATAAATATACCCATGTGCAGCGGGAATTATCATCAATATGTGACATAATAGCGATGTCCCGAAAAAGCGGTAACAGGAGAAAGACGCCACACATCAGAATGTATGAGATCAAACATACTAGGTGCACGATGCATATAAGAAATATAACTGGTTCTAGTATGTTTAGAAAGCTCACATATCTCACATTGAAATTTATTATCTTTACAAGCCGTTATTAATGAAAGGAAAAGCAGACATAAATACAGAAAGTTTACATGCCCAAGGAGAGCATACCATAAATTTAAAGTTTGAAAAGAAAAATCATAAGACCTAGAAACTGGAAGAACAGAGGCTTGAAGCAAGTGGAGGAGGTGTCAGTGGAGGATCCCTAAAGTAGTAGAGGTCATCGTGCTTATATCCCCTGCGAAAAATCCTCTTCAAACACAGGTCCTGTAAACACAATAATGAGGAAAGAAAATCACTGCACAATTTAGTGATTTGGCAAGTTTGCTAACAGATAGAAAATTAAACACAAAGTTAGGAACATGAAGAACGGATGCAAAATAATATCAGGAGATAGATGAACATCTCATTTACTACGAATAATGGTAGTTGACCCATCAGCTAGACTAACAACTTGATTAACAGGGGTAAAGGGAGTAGAAAATAATGACAACTCACCAGTCATGTGATCATTGGCTCCGGAATCCAGAACCCAAGTAGGTTTTCCTACTTTAACATGAAAATAAGAAGGAGTACCTGTAGCTATAGTAGCCGTGGAAATAGAAAAGCCAGCCCTAGTAGATAAAGCTCCGAACTGCTCCTGGAGCTGACCAATTTGGGTTTATAACTGATTGAAGTCCTAAAAAGATGGTATGGGAGGAGTTGAAGAAGGAGGGACAACAATCTGTGGAGTAGTATAGCCATCTAAAGTATTGGCAACTGTGGCAGTGCGGCCACGGCCACGGCCAGAAGGATAATTGCGAGAAAATTTCTGCTTTAGCTCGGGATGAAGCTTAAAGCAACAATCCTTTACGTGACCTGTGGCTCCACAATGTTGACAAATAACCTGTCCCTCTGAAAGTCTACAATTAGCAGCAAGAGTCATTTGATCAACGATAAAACTACTGGCTGAAAGATCTGGCATATATGCTCCTCATGGTCAACAGTAGCGAAGGCAACATATAAATCAGGCATAGGAGAGGTGTTTTGTGATCTGAGTTCTAAGAGCATCATACTCAGATCATAAACCCATCAAAAACTGGTAGGTATGCTGGCGGTCCAGTCTCTTGACCAAAAGAGTTGCAGCTTCTTCAGAAAAATCCGAGAGAGGTTCATTATGTGCTAATTTTTCCCACCTAGACTGGAGGTACCCAAAATACTCTGATACTGACAGCTTGAGTGTCTCCTGAGATGCATGAGCAATCTCCTGATAGAATTCAAAGATACGAGCGTCATTGCGGGAATGGGCATACATCTTGTTGAGGGCTTGCCACAGACAAAAAATGGAAGTGTGAAGCATAAACATATTATCGATACGCTCCTCCATTGAGTTGAAGATCCAACCCAGAATGGTGCACCTGTCCATGTCCCATGCAATATATTTAGTATCCGTCTTTTCCGGTTCCTTGACTAGACCCAAAAGCCAACCAGTTTTCCCTTTCACTCCAATATAGAGTTGAATAGAACAAGACCAAGATACGAAGTTGCGCCCATTCAAGAGCACACTAGTAACCTGATGTGCCAGAGTATGATGTGCCAAAGAAAAAGTATGTTGGACCGAGGATAAAGTGTCCTTTTGGTTACTAGAATGCTGGTCTACACGTCAAAGCGGGAGGAAAGAGAAAAAAACAAGGCCGGAAAAATCGGTGCTTTCTTCCAAATATGCTACCGAACAAACACCGGCAGCCCACAAAGAAAAAAAAAAAACACCATAAGGACCCTTAGGTCATAAAAAAACTAAGGGAATTCCCCTAAAAAATGAGTCAAAAACAAAGGGTTACTCGAAGGGTCTGGCGCAAGGGCTGGGAAGAGATGGAGGTGCGCCAAAGGTGAGGGAAAATGGAGAGAGGGAGAGAGAAGGTGGCGGCGTTGGGGAGGAAGATGGGGAGGCGAAGGTTTTTGTTTTGCTCTGATACCAAAAGGAAAAAGTTTTGGGTTTTGGCTTATTCAAACCGAGAGCCAAGAGCTATATTTATATACAAGAATAGGGTATAAAGAAAGGAAACAAAATCAAAGAAAAACAGGAAATATGCCAAAATCTATGTGATCCCATGATTACGGGGATCTTATCTACGTAATCCCTTGATAATAGGGATCTTACATAAAACACCTAATAAAAGGCTGAAAACAGGTAATAAAAAGAAAAATAATAATAATATAGATATTTCAACATAAATAAATAAAGTTCATCACACTGTTTTAATACATACATAAATATAAGAGGGGTATAAAACTAAAGTACCTAAAAATGATAGTCAAACCTTGACAAAAGCTGAGTAATTCATAACTGGAAAATAAGCAAATCATAAAAAAGATAGATAGGAAAGGAAGTAAAAGAAACATGAGCAAGCATAACATACAACACAACATACTATAGAAAGAAGATTGTATTTCAATCAATCAGCAGCAGCACATTACCTTTATACCTCCCAAGTCCCTGCAAGGATTTTGCTTTAAGAAAGATCCCTTCAAAGAGTAAACTGACAGCATGTATAGACATTGGTGGTGTAGCATCACTTTGTGAATGTTTCTTGCGACGTTCTCCTCTTCTAGCAAGGGCCAATTTCATCTTTGGAGTCATAGCAGCAATATCTATCCCTTCAAATACGTGCAAGGCAGCTTCTATGTTTCCCTTATGATATTCGTATCTTCCTAATAAAGCTCTTGCTTCCTGGAAAATGATGACAAAAAGGACGAATCCCTGCCTTTAGACATTTAAAGAAGAGAGAAAATGTTTATAAAATGAGCAGTTGAAGCGGAGTTGATACGGTTACTGAATTGGATGAGTAGCAAAACAAGAAAAGGAAAATGGAACATCAAATGAATGCTTGCAAAAGAGTTAAAGATGACAGCAATTGATAAAGAACAAAAGTGTGCTACAGGGTTAAAGAAAACAGACTTCACCCAAAAAATACATAAAAATAAAAAATAAAAAACAAGAGCTTAGTTAGAATTGTTAGATAAACCAACCTCATAATTCAAACAACCACTCTCGCGCAAAGATGATTCAGCTTCTTCGATATTGCCGGTATCTGGCTTCTGTAGTATTTCACCTGCTCGAGAAGAATGCCCACTGAAGATATAATCCCTGGTTGCAAGAGATTCAGATGGACGAACCATCTCATCTGCTGCTAAATGCTCTCCTGGGCATATGCAATTCATTATCTTCCCAAAATTCCAACCTCTACGGCCCTTCCTTCGCCCTTTGATCCAATTCTCATTCCTCATATTGTTTCACCTCAGTAGCAATCCTTCAACCACAACCACCACCAATAAGGAAAAGAAAAAATTAGACCCTTTATGTCAAAATTAAGATAAACCCCCAATCAAATTCTTAGTTCAGTGACTTAAATTGCAAGATCATGAACAGAAAGAAGAACAAGTTCAATAATCATAAACTTACAATATTATAAAATTTTGAACTGCAAAGCATACCAATCCTTATTCTAGTAGAATCATGATGATGCTCTATCAAAAATTAATTTAAAGAAAAAAAGTCAAACACCAGTAAGCATTAAATATGTATCAATGACAAAATTTAATTAATATAACAGACTTTAATCCCAAAACCCTAAATTCAGCAATCAAAAGTCCAAATTCACGTTACCAAAAAGTAAAACCCATTAACGTTTCTTGAAACCATTTGTGAAATCCACAGATAACCCAATTCACACACTGATCATCGCATTCACCACCCAAAACCCCAACATAGCACTAGGAAAAATAAATGCATTAAAATCAATAAATTACAACAACAACCTCTTATGTATAGACCCAAAATTAGTTGAAAACCCTAGAAATTAATAGCAGGAGAAAACCCATCAGGCCAATCAATTGAATTTCACCAAAGAAATGAACAGAAGTTACCTTTTATTATTCCAGGAATACAAAAAGCAGAGGCCTAGAGCCCACAACACGTCAAAACCAATAACCATCTCCTCTCCAATCAAAGCTTCATTTGAAATTCCCTAATCAACCAAGAATCCAACAAAGTTTCAACAACCTCCTTTCTTTTTCTTTCCCTTTCTTTTCCTTTCTTTTCTTTTATTTTCCTTTCTTTTCAATTGAGAATTTCCTTTTCTAAGAACTATTAACAAACCTTGAGGACTCCAATATTAATGGGTCTCTCTGTGTTTGTGGAATTACTCTGATTTTTGCGTTGTGGCAAAAGGCAGATGAAAACAGAGAATGGAATTTGAACTGAATCGTGAGAGAGAGACTGGGAATTTATTGGATTATTTAAATAATATATCCTAAATACTTGTTTGGGACTCGAGTTAAATGAAAAATCTTAGGTGGGACCCATTTGGAGTTCAGTAGGTGTCTGAGGCTAAGTTTCTGCCACGTGGAATCTGTTTTCATTGCATTTAGTGCCGGCATTAACCTGTCATTATCAAATGACAAAAATCTCCTTTTAATTTCTATTTTTATTTTTTTTTAAATTAATATTAAAATGAATATTAATCCTTCATTATCAGTAAGGAAAAAATTATATTGAAGAGAGATAAAAAAAAGGATGGATGAGACGTTACACAGGTAAGAGAGAATTAAAGAAAGAGTTTTAGTTATTTTTATTATTATATTTAATAATATTTTAATTTATAGATAATAGTATTATAATTTTAAATTTATATAATTTGGTATACCATTTTAATCTAAAATTTTTATAATAGTTCACTTGTCATGGGTACACTTCTTGTCTTCACTCTTTTCTTCTGTCTAACAAATAAAAATTTATAAAGGAAGAATGATCACTCTTCCTATTCTTATTTATTTCCTTATATCATCTCTACCGAACAAAATAAATTAATTTTTTCCTTCCTATTTTAACTTCACACATCTTCCTTTCTATCGAACCCATCATATTAGATTCATTTAATTATTAGATTGAGACAAGGTGTTGTAAGACACTTTGACACTTGTCGAATAGGGAAATTCGGCCAAAACATATGTCAGATATAGCATGAATGCAAAAATAATATGTTTTAAACACTTCGGGGCAGAGTGATTTTATAAACTTTTTTCTAGAAAAATGAGATTCATTGGAATTTAAAATTTATTATTAGTTAATTAAAAAATATTATAAAATCTAAGAAAACAAAAAAACAACAAATGTCTAGTTTCAGGTTCCACAAATTTGTGAATTTATTCAATTATAAGAATAAAATGGTAAAAAAGTATTATTTGTATATATGATAATATATTATAATAATATTTTTTGACATATATATGTTGTACTCATGTTCTATTTTTTGAAATTTTTTGTATTGTCATATTTTTATTGTGCTCTTGTTTTGTGTCCTAGTGTATGTATCCGAGCTTTCTAGGATAATCGAGAATTCTAAAAAATACTAATAAAAATAATTTTTAAAGTAAATATTTAAATTGTCTATAGAAAACAAGAGTTCAGTTTCCATTTTAATTTGTAAGAAATAGGAATTAACATTTCTTGTTAACGAGTATGTAACTTTTGGATAAGGGACATCTTTGGTTCTTTTTTTTGTAGTTCTTCAGAATAAAATAAATAAAAATAAAAAATCTAGAAATTCGTTTGATTGATAATCTTTTCAAAATACATCCTTTTTCAATTCTCTCAAAGCTCTTTCATATTCTTAAGAGTTCTTGAAAATCTATTTCACATAATTAAACCCAAAAAAATAAATAGGCATGAACTGATTTCATAAACACATTTGTATGCATTGGATGTAATAAATTAAATTTAACTAATGAAGTTATTGTTTGTTTAAAAATACTGAATCAGACGCTTTAAATTTCAAAACCAAATTTCTTCTTATTCCAATTATAATTTCGAAGTGACAATTCGATAATCCAAAAATAACTTACACATATTAGTTTAGCGGCCTTTTTCACCATGCATGCATTGAATCATGCTATTTGAGAATTATGGACGATTTGAATCTTTGCTTCTTGATATGAACACAGTTCTTGAAGTAAAATGGTTTCTGGGGAGTGAAACCTTTTGCCGTTTTGATCTTAAATTATTGATAAACGATGTTTTAGAGTGTTAAAATTTGGATTTGTAGATTTTTTTTTTTTTTTTTTTTTTTAATTCTTCAACATGGTCACAGTCAAACGTAAAGAAATACTCTGATTTAACAAGACATTACTAAGTAATTAATGGCCTAAAAAACGCTTTTACATATAGCTGAGCTCACCCCCAAATATAATACTTTGTTCTATATATGTACTATTATATAAAGCCATGGCAATGATTCTGAAAAGTAAGTAGCTACTCTATTTACCAATTAAAGGAACTAGTATCATATGCCTAAAAATTCCAGAATTAGAACTAGCAATGGTCACAGTCAAACGTAAAGATGAGCTTCAAGTGAATAATCATTTTGTGAATATAAAACATCAAAAGTTGAGTAAATACTCTGATTTAACAAGACATTACTAAGTAATTAATGGCCTAAAAAACGCTTTTACATATAGCTGAGCTCACCCCCAAGTATAATATTTTGTATCTATATATGTACTATTATATAAAGCCATGGCAATGATTCTGAAAAGTATGTAGCTACTCTATTTACCAATTAAAGGAACTAGTATCACATGCCTAAAAATTCCAGAATTAGAAGCATAAAAGGTTCAAAATATATTATAACTGTAGCAATCGTGACACAATATTATTTATTTTTTTATTCTTCCAAATTAGAGATTTATCAGGAAGTCACTCATCCTGGCACTTCTTCAGAGTAAACAGACCTAACTTTGTAGTTCTAATAGGTTTATGGCCATCACAACTTTAAAACACATTGTGTCTTCGCTTTCCTCAGGCGATGTGACACCCTGTAACATATCAATGTGGTAACTTGTCTAGTGTCTCGCACCCGCCCGCATCACACTCACCCATAAAAGTAGTCACAATCACCCCTCGTGGGGGTCAACGTCCTTATTGACCACACTTTCTGGCTGGGCTCCAATTCTAATACCATTTGTAATAACTCTCACCCTACCCAAATACAATATTGTCCGCATTTTGGCTCCCCCGGATCATAAACTTTCCAGGAGGTCACCCATTCTAGTATTACTCTAGAGTAAGCACACTTAACTTTGGAGTTCTGATGGGTTCATGGCCATCACGAATTTAAAATACGTGGTATCATTGGAAAGTGTTGAACCTTACATGTGTCACTTCACCTTTTCCAGGCGATGTAGGATCATGACACCCTGTAGCATACCAGTGTGGTAGCTCGTCTAGTGTCTTGCACCCGCCCACATCGCACTTACCCATAGAGGTCGTCACAAGAACAATGGTGGTTCAATGAACAAAACCCAAAAAACTAATTATAGATAATAAATAAATAAATAAGGTTTAAAACACTAGCACCAATAAAGGGGAGGTGAACTGTGGTGGAGCGGTGGAGATAAAAAGAAAGTCGGTGGTGTTAGATGTGAGTAGGTGAAGAGAGAATGGGCCTTGACGAAGATGAGCCGTGGGGAGAGAACGGGTTTTGGCGGAGATGAGCCATGGAGAGAGAGGGGGTGGTGGGTTGTGACATACTACAGGAAAAGAAATTGTTAACTATTAAATGTGTGGACACCCCAAATTATGCAAACGCGTTTTAAGGCACTTATACATGTTACATTGTTACACCCCTAACATTACTGTGGGACATGGGCGGGTATTAGAATATTTCTCAATTTCATCATAGTGTTTGGTTCAAGGTGGAGAGATCATCAGTCGAAGTGGAGCTACGGGGTACCGGTGAATACTGAATTCAAGCAAAAGTGGAGATTGTTGAGTTTGTGGCTTGAATTCATGTGTAAAAGATGGACCTGTTCAATTTATTATGTACATGTTCACTTGGGGTGGGATGCGAAGATGAATGACCCTGAATGGACATGTTCAACTTTTTCATAGTGTTTGGTCTGAGGTGGAGAGATCTTCAGCTGATATAGTGTGATACCCCTCGATTCTAGAGCCACGGATGATCAAGTCCGAGCACAAATCCGAAGGATACCAAACAATCAATATGTAAACAAGCAGGAATAAAACTGAATTAAGATTAACATAATAATAAAACAGAAAGAAAATTAAAATGAAAATCCTCAAACCTTTAAATAATAAATTAATATAATTTAAATCTGTACAACTCGGGAATCCACCTAGTGGACTCCTAATTCCAAATATTTAAATAAATTTATAGAATTAAAATCCAAAACCAAAATAGAAAGGAAATCCTATGTAACCGGAAGAGTGAGTGTCTGTATCTGCATCAACACGATCAAATTCTAAGCCTGGTACTGGCGAATACCTGAAAAATAAGAGTGAGTCAGGCCTACACGGAAGTTCCAATCTACTACAATCCGTACATAAACCCGATACGTAGATACATCCTAGATAGCTCGGCAATATCTACAATAGTCCCTATATATATATATATATATATATATATATATATATATATACATACACTATAGGATACTCACTAGCATATAACATAGTTCAGCCTGGGTAGAAGGTGACATATAAAACACGCTTTTCAGCGGCCAAGTACCTAGACCTACCAGGGAACATTAGCTATATCTAGCTACTCAACCTTTACAATATACGCAGACTCAAGCTCGTATCACGGTACCATAAGTATATATAAATTCCTTCATAATGCAGAAAGATAAAACAAACATCCATTATGTCGTTCAACTGTTTTAGTTGACAGGACATACATCTATGTAGGATTTAACTGTTTTAGTTAATCCATTCCATATGTATGAAGGGATATGACTTAGCTTTTTGATCTAATCCATCCCTGATATGTCACCGTCCCATGCCGGTACATATTATGCAAATGATCCACAAATGATGCACATTTATTAGAACATCAAATACATCTAAAGTCCGGCACAATAGCAATCAGATATAAACAAGATTCTATTATGCATACAGTATATGATTAAAATCACGAAACGTCCGTTTAAATTGCTAAAATAGTAATAAACAATTTAAACTATCCATTTCCATATAATTGACAGAACAGAAATATAACAGTTCAGCAATTAACATCCATAGCATGATATAATGATTATCAGAATTATGAACTGAGCACATTATACTATACATCCCAAACCATACTCTCATACTAGTTCTTTTCGTTTGCTAAAATAAATCTAGTAATCACAACTTACACTATCCTTGACAGCATATCAATCAATGCTTAAATTACATGACGTCCCTAACCACAGCATAACCAAACTTCTTGGAACCAAAGTAGGTCATTT